TGTTTCCTAGAAAAAGGTTAGGTACCTTGTTGGCATCTTAACTCTTGGAGCTTAAATTAAGGAAACAAGGCTAGGCTGCTGCTGCTGAAACTGGAAAATTATACGAAAGCATTCAAAAGTACTTGACACTTGCATTCTAACCTGCTTTGATTTATGTTTTGGGGAAGAAACAAAAAAATACCCTCCTTCCCCCCGAAAATGTTCACCTGTCATAGTAAGAGAAATATGAGGCAGTTTAACAGGCTAGAGACCTTGACACACAGTAGAGCACCTGCCTAAAAGCACAAGGCCGCTGAGTTCACAATCTAATGCTGCCCAAAAAAAAAAAAAAAAAAAAAAAAATGGAGGACAGTTACCTTCCATCATTGCTTGCTTACTTCAGAATCCAGTCATGTTTTAAAACTATAAAATGGTAAATATGCCATTCATGTGGCATGTAAGACCAGGCCTCCTATGGTTAATGAAAGAGAAACTGAAAACTAACACTTTCTTCTAAAAAATACTTTAAAAAATACCTTATTGAATCAGTAATGGATCAAGTATAAATTATGGTGTTTGTTATAAACTTTAGTTGAAATGGCTAGAAAGCATTTCCTGAAGTCAGTCCTCATTAAGTTTAATAAAAGTAACTTAAGTGTTTGCTTATTTTTTAAATCTTGGTTGAAACAAATGTTTGTTAATAAATAGATTAAACTTTTAAAGATGAATTTAAATGGTAACCCTTTAGAAGTTATATGTATTATTTAATGAGGGCACTAAAATTGAAACTTCTCAATGTGTGATAGGCTTTGTGTTTAAACAAAAATAAGATACTTTTAGTTTGGGGAAAAACTAAAACAAACTTCTGAGTTGTGTTTTTTAAAAATAAAATACTGGTGAATCAGAAAATAACATTTTCATTTCCAAACGCAGACCAAAAATATTTAGGTTCTATATGTTTAATTATGTCATTAGTCCTCTCAGCGATAGTAAATAGTGAGGGTATTGAAAATAGATGTCACTATGTTAGCAAGTAATTTTTCCATTTTTAACCTCTTAATGTCATTGAAAGCTTTTGTGGAATAAGTAAAATTTCAAGGGACTTTGTTGAGGCTTAACCTTTATAAAAATGTAAGTTTTCAGTTTATAACATTACATTGATAAGATCATCATTTTGTCTGCATTTAGATGAATATTTGCTTTTCTACTTTCAGAGTCATTTGAAAAAGCTTTGAGCATGCTTTGATATCCAATTGGTGAATTTTGACTATCATAAATGGTTTAAAGGAGAAAGGCAGAAAAGTTACATAGTATTCTTTAAACCTCCCAGTCCAGACGTTTTTCTAGATTATGGATTTTTTATTTCCAAATGGAATGAAGTTCAAAGGTTTGATAGTTCTAGTTTTCTATTCTTAAATTGGAACTTTGCTAATAACTTAAAAGTCATTTCTAACAACTTGAACTCTTTAAATTCCTTTTTTTTATATTGAGTTTTTTATAATGTAATGTTGTTATCTTTGGATTTTAGGGTGGTTTTTCTTACACGAATTCAGCAGATTAATAAGCTATTTCAGTATCTATTTTTGGGACCCAAGCAGTATACGTAATCTTTACTTTTATCAGTAATCATAACGATAGGACAGGTTTATTACTGTGCTCCCTTACATTTAAGAAAATTTGAGGCATGGGGATGTATCTACTCCAGGTCGCATACCTAGGAAGTATTAGAGCTTAAATTCATCTGGCTCCAACCCCTCTGCTATTATCTATGAAACCATCCCACTTCTCTTTCATACGGATTTTTAACCTTTTTCCTGACCCCAAGTAAAGACTAATTAAATGCACATAGAAGTAAAAGGCATTACATACTGCTTTCCTTTGTACAATATTAAGATCTTTTAGTTTTTGGCCATATAAAAAGGAAAAAAGTAAATTGTAAGGTTTAAGTTCAGAATCACAAGGTTGAAGAAACCTTTGTGAACAAACTCATTTTTTTTTATTATGTTATGCTGGGGTAAGGGTACATTGTATGCATTTACAAAGGTTCTTACAATGTATCGAAACTATATCATACTTGAATTACTCCCTCTCTGCTCTCATCCCTCCTCCCTGATTTCTGGACAGTTTCTCCAGGTGTCCATTTTTGCAGTTACATACATGTTTATACATTATTTGCACTATAGTCCCCACTCTCCAACCCCTTTCCCCACCACTCCACTCCCAACCGTGCCAAACTCCTCCCACCCTCCCCACCCCCCGAAGAACCTGTTTTCACCTCCTATTCTCCCAATTTTATAGAAGAAAAAACATAAAAGATAATAAGAGAAATGTGGCATTTTTTGCTAGTTTTGAGATAAGGATAGCTAGCTTTGTGTATTTTATTTCTATCATGCTATAGCAGTTTTACTGGGCAGTCCAATAGAAATAGGTTTTTAATATCCATTCCAACAGTACTTGTCTTGCTATGTGCAAAGGACTGTAGAATTATAAGCCTGACATGTGTATTTTAGCTCCTAAACTATGGCCAATTTAAAAAATAAGTGTGTGATACAGAACACATAGTGGAAATGTTAGCAGATTGTAGAATCAGGTAGTGGGTACATATGATCTTGTCTTTGTTACATGCTTGAGAATTGTGATAATAAAAAGTTAACAGAGGGAAAGGTGGTTGCTGCATTACTAATCCACCCTCAAACTATCTTATTTGCTTTAGCTTTATTTTTTTGTAAAACTAAACCAAAATAACTTTAATTTGAATTGTTACATGATGCCAGAGTGGTTAACCGTTCGGACAACTGGTTTGGGAAATGCTTGAGAAAAATAGTGTGCAGGCGTTCCTAGGCTTGAGGTAACAAATTAAATTAAGTGTGTATGGCCTTGAACCATTTCCTCTGAGTGCTTTGGTAATACTTCTTGTTTCTCCATTCAGTTACTTTTCAGAAAATACAAATGAAGATATACTTCATTACCAGGCAATTTTTTATTTTCTTGTCCTTTTTTTTTTTTGGCAAAATTCTTTTTGATTTCAATGTCCTTTATCTGTTCTTTCATGTCTTGTCTGGAGATAGCTGTCTAGCCACTTCCTTTTAGTTATTATTCTCAAACTCACCTTTTTTAAAAGCTGGTGTTTATACCTATTCCCATATTAGCTGCTTTGCCTGTCTTTTAAAATACATACACACACACACCTCTTTATTTTTGGGTTGTCTTTTTAAGCAATTTTATGTTAGGATAGTTCTATTTTCACATGACATTCCTTTAGGATTTATACTTTTTGGACTTTTAGTGCTCAATCCAGTTTTGTTGGCATTTTAACAAACCCAATCATAACCACACCAATCTAGGATCCAGATGAAAAAATGCATAGTGAGAGTGAAAATGACTGAATTTCCAAGCTTCCTGTAAGATCTTTGGTTAAGAGGTTTTTTTTCTTCAACCATTTAACCCATCAAGTTTGGTCTAAAATCAGACATAATCCTCAAACTATTGAAATAAACCATGTAGCAATACTTAGCTTTCCTGTGTCCTTTCTGTTACACAAGTTAGGATCATAAAGCTGTGGTGTGTCTTCATTTGATCTCTTAAGAACTTAGCATAGTTCTCAAATATTGTAAAAACAGGAATACAGAGTAACTATCCTTTTTTCTCTAGTTAGTGATTTGGCCAGAGTATTGATTAGTTACTCTGCCGCTGGGCTTCTTTCTATCTCAGAAGTGACAGTACAATATGTAAAATTCTCTGCTGTAGAAATGTGTTTTTTTATGTAACTAAATTTTACTCCTTTGATTTTTTGAAAAAAATCAAAATTTATTTAGAAAATGTGACAGATGAAAAGTAAAAAAAGGAATGTTGATCGATTTAGGTGGAGTTTATCATATGCCTCAGGTCTGTTTCAAGTGGCTGAATACATTTACACAGATTCAACAAAAGCTTATTGAAATATTTGGAACTCTTGGTTAAAAGATAGCAGGTGTTCGTTTCAGGATCTGCCTTAGCTGACTGTCCACTATTGGAAGTTAGATATAAGAATATTCCCTATCCATTTGGTTGGCTTGTTACAAAAATTACTGCTGAGGTATGCATAAGCAAATTAGTAGTAAGGTAAGATCCTTATTGCCTACTCCAGGGAAGAGGGAACACTTTAAATAATAAAAGAGGGCCTGGGGGCTTATTTCTTTTTGTTTTCTATTCTGACAACAACTCTGAGGGCTTAAAAGCATGGATCCAATAGTAAAGCACCTGAGTTCAAACTCCAGTACCACCAAAACAAAACAAAAGAACAGTTCTGTTATGTCTCTAGGTATTAAAATTAATCTATTTAGGATTTTTATGTTGTTTTAGTTTTTGATTCTTCTGTAATTATAGAAAATCACCATATTTAACAGATAAGGAAGTCGTTAAGTAAAAATTCTAGGCATAGAATATGATTGAATTCCAGGTAAGAGAAACAGACTGTATAAGGGTTTGTATGCTCTGATTCTACCAGAGTTCAAGACTAGAATTCATCCAAAGTGAAGATCAGCAACTTTGTTGAGCACTTTATTACCTGAGTTCAGGCAGAATTGTGGTACCCCGAGTGTCTTTGAATCTCGCATGCATTAGCATGTTTTTATACATAAACAGCTCTTACGACTTTATTCAGAGATAGGGCTTATTTTATTTTTATGACAACATAAAAACAGCTCTCCATTTTTCCATAATTGCTTGACCTTCATTACCCAAACTTACAGAACCAAATGCAAAAATTAAACTAATTTGTTTCCATCTATTTAAGTAAACTAGGTAAATATTTTTCTCTGTTCTAATGCATGCTGCTGATTGATTAGATTCTTTAGGTGAGCAATATAAACTAGTCTAAATTATAAGGACAGTTTAAGATGAATTTTATCATATAATTAGAAAGAAGTTCTTATTAATGATACAAGGGAATATTAAATTACTTGTAGTTTTCATTGATGGGGTATTTACTTTAAAAATTGAAATGTTGGGAAATAGCACAGCCCAGGAAACCGGTTAATGTTTTTGGAGTCTAGTCCCACGTTGTCCTAGAACTATAAATTTTCAGTCTGATTCTAATAGTTCTTAAAAGTCTTAATTAATATATTACCCTATTTCTTTAAAGTCCTTATTTTGCTATTTTAGATGCTAGCTAAACAGTTGGAAGCTCTCGGCTTAGCTGAAAAACCTCAGTTGGTGACTCGCTTTCAAGAAGTTTTTCGGTCCATGTGGTCTGTGAACGGTGATTCGATCAGTAAGATATATGCAGGAACTGGAGCTCTTGAAGGGAAGGCTAAGGTAGGTCCAGATCTGTCCTAATATTACTAAAGATTGTCTTTGTCCTTTCTTAAGAAAGCTTTTAAACATGGATATTTAAAGTAAATAAATACCTATTATAGAATTCAGTTTTATTATGCCTTTTTGTCTTCTAATATTTCTTTCAGTAATGGTACTAATGACACTTCCTTAGGCATAAGGGGTGGTTATAGCTGACATAGTTTGTCACTTAGAGATGATCCGCTAATGCAGTGTATATATTGTTTACTTCTCATGCTTTTCTGTTGTGTATCTGTTTTACTTTTTGCATTCTTTATAATAGGATTTTTCTTTACTATAGCTCTGATAAAGTGTACATAATTAGCACATTTGGCTTTCTGTCAGCTGTACTTCACAAAGTGTGTATGTGTGTCTGGATGGAAAAATCGTCAATAATTTTTATAGTACCTACAATGAGCCCAACATTAATTGTTTGGGTTTGTTTTATTTTTGTTTTTTGATTGTTGAGTTTTTATCCTTTCACTTATTTAATCTTGAAAAAGAGGCTGTCAAAGTGTACCACAGGGCAGGTGCCAGTGGCTCATGCTTGTAATCCTAATGATATAGAAGGCTGCGATCTGGAGGATCAGGGTCCAGGCTGGCCTGGGCAAACAGTGAGACCCTGTTTCCAAAATAACCAGAGCTTAAGGGCTGGGGGCAGGGCTCAGGGGCAGAGTGCCTGCCTAGCAAGCATGTAGCCCTGACTTAAAACTGCCAAAAAAAATGGAAAAGAAGTAGAAGATATGTCTTAATGTATTTTTGAGTCTCTTCATTTCTTTTTAATTGCTGGTATCTGTGAACTGCCTTCCCCTTTAGTATTTAGCCCTTGTTTTGAAATTTTGGAGCTATAGTTGGGATATTTTTCATTACTTCATTTACTTAAATTACCATTTAACTTTTTAAGGAATCCTGGCCTCACTTAAATTTATTAACATCCTAAGTTTCTTAAGTTCCCCAAGTTATTTCAGGAATAGAAATGAGAACATTTACCACTTTTTAGTTCTCATTCAGCTGCTCTAATATATCAACTGAAATTCTTAGAGACCATTTGTCATCTCCAAGTTTTCTTTTAATTTCCAGACTTATCTGTTCTTCTGCATCTCATAAAATGCCATCTCTCTACCCAGAGGTATTGGCCTTACCTGTAGAGTGCCAAAGGCACTCAGAAGTCAACTCGTTTTGACTTTTACATGTATTTACTTCTAAAATGTGGCCTGCTTTTGAAAATCTAAAGTAGCTAGGTTTTTATTTGTTCCTTTTAAATAAAGAATATAATTCTTGCTATGAAAAGCTGATTCTCCACAACTATTGCTTAAAATACTCTTATATTCTTCTGCCTTTTTGTTTCTGGCATGACTATAGCAATATATGTACAGTGGCTACATATATTTTCAGTAGTCTTTTATCTTTAACATAATATGTAGATGTGAAATCTTTATATATTAAGTATACTAGTCTGAATTGAGCTAAAATCTAACATCTGAACTGCTCTTTCTTTTCCTTTCTCTGGGTTCCTTTTGATTAATTGCCTGGTAATGTGAATGGTGAGTGTTTTTTCAATAATGTCATTTTGTATGTTGTCATATGGTAGGAAATAATGTTTTAATAGTGGGTCAAATATAGTGGCATTCATTTAGTGGCACTTAAGAAAACTGACCTTCTGAGAAGTTTCTAATTACTGTTAACTTTCTAAGGGATAAATATTACATATCACAAGCTAAAGTTATTTCTAAAAATCAAGTATGTTTCTTTTTTTGCAGCCAAAATCTATAAGATCAAGCTAAATCTTCTTTGTGATAGGCCTAACCGAAATATGTATGTTCATTAAAGATTACACCCAATTTTCTCACTGTAGGAATAAATCTCATTTTTATTTATATTTGTGTAAGCCACAAATGACTTAAACATATGAACTAAAGTTTGCACATAGTATTTATGAACTGAAATTATAAATTTCTCTTTAAATTAGGCCTTTAACTTTAGGTTCAGTTTTAATTTTAACTAACATTGGGAGAAATTTCTGTTTTATTTTTTCTTACTATAAAAATAATTTGAAGTTTTTCTATGTGCATATAAGTTCAGTATGTCATCCTTTATTTCCCCTGACTGTCCCCCTATCCTATCTCCTAGTTTAAAAGTTATGATACAGAAAGGATAAGTACATTGCTGTTTATTTCCTTGATACTAAAAAAGTTTAAATACTCACTGCTCCAGATCTCATTGAATGCAGTTTTGGCACTTAGCTTTTCATTTCTTTGTGCACAACTGGTATCCAAAAAAATAAAGGAAACAGGGACATCTTGAGGCCTTGCAATGTGATTATACGTTCCTTTTTTTATACTAACGGCATATAAAAAAAACTAAAAGTTGCAAAATACCTACTAAGTAAAATCAACCATACTTAGAATGAAAGTCCATGCTCTTTTCTTCCTCAACAGGCTGGAAAGTTAAAAGATGGTGCTCGTTCTGTCACCAGAGCAATTCAGAACAACTTTTTTGACAGCTCCAAGCAAGAGGCCATTGATGTTTTGCTTCTGGGAAATACTCTAAATAGTGATTTAGCTGACAAAGCTCGGGCACTTTTAACTACTGGAAGCTTGCGTGGTATGCATAATCACTTTGTTTTATTTATAGTCCTTCTAAAAGTACAAAAAAATAAATGTAAACTTATATGTAAATGAATTTTGGATTGTCATTGATTAAAATACTTTTAGAAGGAATTTCTGTACAGGTGATTTTTAAAAATTCTGTGCTCCAAAGAAAGCTTTTCTCTTTAAAAATGTTTTTACTATCAGTGATATTATTTGACCATAAACTAGATACTTTTTTTAATAAGTAATGCATATTTTATAGATTATGATCAAGGGGTTGTTTGTTTACAACTTTATAGAAGGCAGGATTTCATAGAATATTCAGCAAGCACTTAGAGCATTCAATAATCCAGTTATACTAAAAGTGCCTTATTGCAAAAACTATACCTGTATTGGTTATTTTTCTAATCCTCACCCCAAAAGTTTCTGTAATGTGGTCTTAATTTCTGTTATTGTTTGAGTGTTGAATCATAATAACTTAAAATAGTGCTTATTATTGGACACTAACTGCCATTACCAGTTTTAATATTTGACATAACTACATGGCTTTCAAGATAGCTTTTTATTTTTCATTGTATGTCTTTTATTAAAATCAAAAGAATTTGAACTTCTTATGCATATGAACACAAAAAGTAGTATTTTGGGAAAACTCGGCATTCATTGTAAACTTAATAGATTAGACTTCCTTTTTTCCCCCTCCCAGCTTTATTGAGTTGTAATTGGAAAAAATTAGATTTCATTGGTTCCACTTTTTTTCTATTATAATTTTATAGCACTGTAAAAATTTTTTTCTGTTAGCCCCAAACCAAATCTTCCATTGCTCCCTGGAATAAAATTGTTTCTGATCGAGAAATGTCTGCTTCGGTATTACTTGATCAAATAAGTGATCATGGACTCTTTCAGAATTTCACATGGTTCTCTGAAGACAGTTAATTACAGCTAGCTCCTCAGGGATATATGAAAGGCTGGGGTACTGGAACCTCCTCAAACTCAAAGAAAAAAATTAAAAATCTTAGCTAGTACTTGCAACTTCAGGCTTTCTTCCTGGCTTCCAAAAGTGTAAAGGCTGGACTTACTTATGTTTTGCCACCTCTTTCCACCTGTGTGTACTTTGATGTGGAGGCATTAATAAGCAGCAGTTGAAATTAAGTAGTCAAAGGAAAGAAGAGAAGCCAAGAACCTAAGTAACTCACAAACTTGAGCATCAGGGTTTTAGTTTTCCTGCATATTTTATAATATGTAACATGCCTTTAAAAAGTTCAGTCAACTGGACTTGATGGTGCGTGTCTGTAATCTCAGCACCTGGGAAGCTTTGGCAGGAGGATCATGAGTTTGAGGCTGGCTTGGGCTACATAGCAAGGCCCTGTCTCAAAAAAAAAAACAACAACCAACAAAGAAAAGGACAGCCAGTTGTGCTATGGAGACTTTTTGAGACTGGGAGTGTATTCCAACGTGATTGGTTTATTAGGGAATGACTTGAGTATCATGCCAATATTGTATCAGTTTATGGTTGATTTCTCTGGCAAACAACATTAGGTAAATGCAGAAAACTGTACCCGATAGAACCAAGATGGATACAAGTATATAAAATGCTATCTGTCACCTTAGATGTCTCACCTACCCCAGTTCACCATGTGCTATAAACTATACCTGTCCAGTCTGGTATTTAACTTCCCACCAATTTTCCAGTAACCCTTCTGCCATCATTCACAATTGTACCCTTCTGATGCCCATTTCTACTAGCCAGGTTCATATTGTTTTCAAGGTAAAGTGCCTTACTATTGTAGTATTCATCCATTTCACAATTATTAAACATGCATGATACTGTGCTACTGTTTTTATTAAGTTCTTGTCTTCTTTGATGTGTCACTGTTGAAGTTTTTGTGATGACCCAACCCTGTTTTTCCCATAATTCCCATGGCTATGGGAATTTGAATGATTTTGTATAGTGCAGTGATGTTTTTAGAATGCATATGTCTTGAACTGATGGTACGTATCAACTGGTGAGTCTCAGAAAAAATATTAAAAGATATATTTGGGCAGTACCTTCCATATCTTCAGTATTCTTCAGCCTCTTAAGTCTTCATACTTACTCAAATATGTGTGCACACATGCACACCCACAAGAGCTGCTGAAAGAGTTTCAGAAGAAATTTTGATTGTGAAGTGATGTCGCTCAGTCACTGTAGGATTTCCTTAGCTATAGAGGGCCTGTATAAGTTATTGTCACTTATTTATAATATTTGGTGTCCTGTAGCCTTCAGAAAAAAAAATCAAGTCATCAAATTGACTTGAAAAAGTAAGGCCATCTCAGAATGTTTTATCATAACACTCTAGATTTTGACTGTAACTTGTTGTTTTACTAATGACTCTTTCTTTTCTTCTTGATGCATCCATAGTTTCTGAACAGACATTACAGTCAGGTACAGTATAGAAAATTAAATATAAATAAAAGCAACTTTTTCTTTATTTTTTCTGAAGCTGATATTGTACACAAAGAGATATAATTTGAAACTTTCTCACTTTGTCCTAAAAATCCAACAGGGTAAATTTGAGTTTCATTTTAACCTGAGAAATACATTTTGAGTTTGAAAAAATTAAGTATTTCATTTAGAAGGAAATATGCAATGTTCTTTGTCTTCCTGCATTAAAGGCTTAATTCTAATTAAAGATAATTTAGCTAGTTTTAATATCACTCTTATATTTCTTTGAGCAGACATTAGTAGTGTTACACCTTACTCTTAATATGCTATTGGAAAAACCTCAAATGTGATTTTTTGGATTAACTTCAGTATACTATCTGTGCTGTTTATCACTACTCAAGAGTATCTTGCACATGGAGTGTTTGAGAATGCATTGTCTCATTCTCTTACATTGTGTATGACAAATTTTCAATAGCTACAAACCTACACTAAATTATGATCTGAAATCTTTTTAATTATACACAGTGCCAGTATTGCTAACAAAGTCAAGAATTTAGGGTATAAGACAGCTATTACTTTTCTTGATTATTGATTCATGGGACTCTCGTGTCTTCATTTTCTGGGCAAGGTTTGTGGGCCTGCTTTAAAGACGTCTAGACAAATAGAGCAAAGGCAAAACTCTTGACAGAAATGTAGCAGAAAAAAATGACATTTTTTTCTTCTTAAAATTTGGTGTCACTTACAATTGTTTTGCATAGTTACTACTCTGAATCTTTAGTTTTTGGTGGTACTGGGGTTTGAACTTCACACTTGGTAGAGAGGTAGGTGGTCTACCATTTGAGCCACTCCACTAGCCACACTATTCTGTATATTTTGAGAAGATGTTGGTTATTTCACTGTGTTTTTGAATTAGGTAATGAACACCATTTTCTGAAATTATATGGTATTTAGATGTGAACTTCTGTTTTGTGAGCACAGGCTCATTATATCTTCAAGCACTTCAAAGTGCAAACCAGTTAAGAATAAACTAGATTGTATTTTTTACCTTTTTGTTTATTTAAAAGCTGATTAGACTTTATTAATTAAACAACATGGTAAGCTGCTTTTGTTTGCACTGCTTATTATTGTCTTGCAGACTGTCTTAAGCTGTGTAATTAGAACTTGTGTCTTGACATTGAATGGATCATAAAATCTGTTTCCACAGTAGTACAAATGGCAATGACTTTAATTATAAAGACCAGTAATAAGTCATAGTAATAGAGAATGGTTTTTATGTAGGTACATTCAGCTTTCAATTAACCATATGAACAGGCTAGAACAAATCTGCTTTCATTATCACCCAGTCACCTCTACAAGTATTCAAATAGTAAGAAAGTGAGAAGTCTGCACATCTACTCATGGGAGCAGTGGGGAGAATATGGTTAGCATCCAAATCATCAGTTCCTTCAGGGGTCTACAAATCAAAACTGTATTCATTATGCTAAGGTGATAGTTACCTTTTTCATTTCCATATCCTCAGGAGACTCCTGTTTGTGTTATAAAACAATAATACCATATAATATGACAAACGGTGAAAGTACTTTTGATTTCTTTTTTCTCTTACCAAATTAGTTGCCAGTTAAGTACAAATTCTGTTTTTGGTTTGAATTCCCATTAAAGTTGTATCCACTTTTAAATACCGAGAATTTAACCAAATTAATGTGTGATTTAGAAGGGGAAAAGAAAGGTAACAGACCTCCCCCTCCCAAAAAAAAAAAAGGCAGAAGAGAGTCTGATAATTCAAAATGGGTTGAACATTAATTTATTTAGCAGTTATGAAGTAAACACTTATTTGCACCAGGTACTGTTTGTTACTAGCAATAAAGACCAACATTTCTGCTCTCAAAGAGCTTCCATTTCTCGTGAAGGAAGATAATTATGGGATAAGTCAGATTTCAGAGCATTTTGGATTTTGGAATATGCACATTGATTTTACCAGTTCAGAATCTCTATTTGAAAGTCTGGCATTCAGACTGCTTCAAATCCTAAACTTTTTGAGCATCATGTTGGCACTCAAAAATTTTTGGATTTCACATTTTCAGATTTTGGGTTAGAGATACTCAGCCCATATCTAGTTTGTAAATATGATATATGCTATAGAAAAAATAAGAGGGGGGTAGTGGAAGCTAGAGGCAAAGTGCCATTTTAAATAAGGTGGTCAGGGAAGGGTCACTGAAAGAATCTGAAGGGGGTAAGGGAATAGTATAGGCCAGTACAAAGCCTTGTGGTAAGAGCAGGCCTGCTATCTTTTTGAAAAAGCAGGGAGGCCAAGCAGTGAGTGAACAGGGGAGGATAGAAGATGGGGGCAAAAAAATAAGATATGTTATTTAGGGCCCTGTACACCATTTTTAAAGACTTGCCTTCTATTCTGAGTAGTGAGATGTGAAGCATGCATTTTCAGAATCTCATCTTCCATAATACGTATTTTCATCAGAGATCCATTATTCATCAAGCTACCTGTCAGTAGTGGGAATCCTATTTTTGCTTGGGGAGAAATAAAATTTATAGCTTTACCAGCCTCTTAATAAAAGTGGTATGAGAGGTTAGTTGCTATATTCCTTAAAGTGTTCTCAAGTTTTGTTCATTAAAAATAGTGTACTATTTCATTAAGACAGGACTATTTGTTTTGCATGTTTTGCATTACTGTAATTATTTTGTAAGAAGTTTTACATTGGCTATTATTTAATTTCATTGATTTTTTTTTAGTGTGTTGGGTAGTTGCCTCAGGCTGGGCTTTGCACTCAAGGCTGATCTTTCCCTTATGCCTGTGCATGTGGCTTCTTTGTGCTTGGGATGATTATGGTATTTTCCGAGCATCCTCTCGGTTTTGAAAGTCAATTTTTATAAATGGTTTAATGCAACTAAAATCTGTTGTGTCTTGTTTTTGGTTAGCATCTTCAAAAGTATTAAAGAACATGTGTGAGAACTTCTACAAGTATTCAAAGCCCAAGAAAATTCGAGTATGTGTTGGAACCTGGAATGTGAATGGTGGGAAGCAGTTTCGCAGCATAGCTTTTAAGAATCAGACACTCACTGACTGGCTTCTTGATGCACCCAAGTTAGCTGGCATCCAGGAGTTTCAAGGTTGGTTTTTTATAATGTGGGTTTACTTAAAATCCTGACTGTCAGTGCGGCACTTCATTATTTGCATTCATTTATAAAAGAAACTTAGGCTTCTTTTATGAATTTGAAAGCCAACATTTTCATAGATCAAATCTATTAAAATACTACCTTTTTTATTTCTAGCTTTGTTTTCTACTTCATAATGATAAATTAAAAAATCTTTTTCTTTGATAGTTAATTCTCAGGAAATAGGGATCCATATGTAAATATCTTTGAAAGCAGCTACACGTACAAGAAAAACTACTCTGTTTTTATTATTTTTAATGTGCATAAGGACTAGAGATGTGGCCCAAGCAGTAAAGTGCCTGCTTTGCAAATGTGAAGCCCTGAGTTCAAACTCCAGTCCCACAAAAAAAAATATATATATATACATGTACATGAACCAAGATTATTTTGTAATTGGCATTGGAATTTTACTTCTCAAGCCTCGTATGTCCCGTTTTTAAGGGTGGGTCATGAGCACTCAGAAAACTTGTGATATTTTTGGCACTTTATAACTTAATGGTCCTGGTTTATCTTTGCAAAAACTTGACTGTTGTTCAATTTAGGTACTTGCCATCAACCTATTAATAACCAGAGTCAAGCATTAGCTGATTTTTATTAGAATCTTGGAATTTAAGACCTTTCTCTTAAAAAATTAACTTTAATTTTTTTATAAATAGTATATAAGGACTAGAGGTGTGGCTCAAGTGATAGAGCACCTGCCAGCATGCCTGAATTCCTGAGTTCAAACCCCTCTACCACCACCACCAAAAAAAAAAAGTATATAATTACCCATATTATATATGAAAGTGATCCATATAAGAAATAATGAAATGCAAATTTCTGGGTTTTTAAGTTATTTTTTAATTAACCACATCTTAATCCCTGTGATTGCCACGATTTTTTTTATTAAAATGTGCCCATTTACTTACATTAATCCAAATGGACTTAATAGAGAAGTAGTAGTAGTGGTAGTGGTAAGAGGAGTAGTAACAGCTAACACTGCAGTTCTAAGTGCTTTACATCTATGCATTTAATCCTTACAGCAGACCTATTACATTGACACCATTACTACAGTTTTATAGATGAGGAATGTGAGACACAGAAAGGAAAATAACCTGCTCATACAGCTAATAGTGGCAACGTTGAGATTTGAACTCAGGTGGTTTGGCTCCAGAGTTTGTGTCATGCTGCATTCTGTGTGTGAACTTGAGCAAGTTACTTAGATTTTCTAAAGCTTCAGTTTTCTGTCTGTAAATAAAAGGGAGGAAGATGTTTATCAAGTGTTTGTGTAATAAATCAACGAGATAATATAGGGCAGGTTTGAGCTTTGCACATGATGACAGTCAATAAATATTTTTTTGTTTCTGAAGGTAGTTCATAGTATTTATAGGCTTATTCTAGCTAATTTTTGAATTATTATTTCTGAATACTTGGGCCCATAAAGTACCCCTGGGGTGCTTATTCTTTTCTTTTTTAGTCCTTGTCAGTTATGAAAGGGCTGATAGCTGAAGACAAGTGATGTGTCTTAACCCCTGCGTCTTTTCTCATTTTCTTGGATTTCTTCCTTCCTGGAAATAGTGAAAAAAAAAAAAAAAATCAAACTCAAGGTTTTCAAATTTGGATGTGACAAATGCTTCCCAACTGTTAATCTCCAATTTGAGAGTTTCCCAGTCACTTTATTCTTTGTGCCTTTTCTGAATAATTCTTTCACCTCTCCATTTTTGAGAAGTGGCTTGATTATGTGCTGCCCATGCTGTCCACAGTCCAAACTTTAGCAAGAACTCTTTCAAAATGATTCCTGATTTGGGGACATGTAAGAATAACAATCTTAAATAAGGAAATTTTAAGACATTTTAAAATTAAATTTAGAGTAGTGTTCTCTCACTCATGAGTTTTTAACCTTTAATATGAATTTGATTAATCTCAAAACACAAAAGTGAGCAGCTGGGGTAGTTTCTAATCCCAGCACTTACAAGACTGAGGCAAGCAGATCCAGAGTTCAAGGCCAGCCAAAGACTTGTCTCAAAGAAAAAGATTTCTATAAAATCTTGTTGTACTGGATGTTAACTAAGGCTACATTTAAGAGTATTTTTGATGCTTAATTGTAGATAAAAGGAGTAAGCCAACTGATATATTTGCAATTGGTTTTGAAGAGATGGTGGAGTTGAATGCAGGAAACATTGTGAATGCAAGGTAAGTTAACCCATTAATGGCATTTGGAATTTTTCCTGTTGAGGGGTGAAAGAATAGGTAACCAAGTTATTTTTAAGAAGGATAAATGGAGATGATGTATGGAAAGTTGCCTTTTAAACTGTAAAATAGCAGTTCTCAAACTTTTTGGTCTGAGGTGCTCTCTACATTTAAAAATAGGAGAATCTCTAAGAACTTGATAGTGTTGGCTATATCCCTTGGCATTATATTAAAAATTTATAAGCATATGTTTTAAAATAGTAATGGTAAATCCATTACAATTAGCATAACATTTTTTAAAAATAACATATCCAGAAGAAATTTTCTGAGAAGTGTGGCATTCCCTTAATGTCTGCCTTAAGGCAGCTGGATTCTTACATGTAGTACTTCCACATCATTCTTTTGCAGTTTGTTCTTTTGGCTGAATTATGTGAAGAAAAATCACATAAAAATGTGTTTGGGAAAGGAAATACTTTAATAGCCTTTCCAGATAACTTCTCTGATACTACACCAAAACTCAACAAATGGTGGTGTCTCAAAGGTAGTTACAAAATGAAATCCAAAAACTTGTCAGTGAACTTTGTGTGCTTCTATTTATTCTAAAGTACATTGGTCTTTTACTCATGCATGATTTTGTAACATACTTACGTACTGGTCATTTGGAAAGTTCACTAAATTCACTGAACTATGCTTATCTTCCAAATTTTGACACATCTTATACAATATCAAAGCATCATATTGGTTATTATCATAGCTAATCATATCAGAAAATTCTTTAAATATTGGGAGGCTATAATGTTGGGATCATGGTAGCAGATACAAATTTCCGAACTTTTCAATTTTTGTTTGAAAACTCAAGTTTTATCATTGGAAACAACTTGGTTGTTTTCTTTGAAGAGACAGAACTGGTTGAAAAACAATGTCTGCCAACTAACCTAAGTCTGAATAACCATGGTCTGTCGTTAATTCTTTCAAGAAAAAATTGTATTCCACAAAAAAGCAGTTAGCTCACAACTCCAATTATTAGATGCTCTTTCTTGAGATAACCATACTTCATTGTGTAACAGAAGTCCTTTATGTACATTCCTCATTCATCACACAGAATATTGAAAAGATGTGGCTCAAGGGTTGAGTTAGATAAAAATAGTGTTTACTACTTCATCAAGGACATTTTTATGGGAAATGGCATTTTTTTTATTTGTAGGTCCATGGCAGTGAAGATAGAATGACTACTAGTACCTGATTGAGGCAAAGGCATCAGCACTTTCACATAGTGTTGCTTTTGTACCCTTAGTGCATATGCAGCCAACACAATGAAAAAGGCAAACAGTGTCCTAGTAGTATTGTGAAGATAAGTTTAACTCCATTGGTTTTGGGACTCTCCACGATGAAAACTGCTGTTCTGAACATTACATATATAAATTAAGTGTATGAAACGTAAAGCTGAAGAGTTTTATTTTAACAGACTGTGCTTGCTTTTCTTCTAAATGTGAGCTGTTGCCCATCTTTTGTGACTTTTCGAGAGATTTTCAGAGGAATAATATAAGTTGAAATATTATAGTATAGTTATTGATCTTGCAAGTGACAGTTATTTTCTTAAGTAAAGTGAATAACAGTTCAGTCAGAGAAGTAGAAAAGAAATCTAACTTCATTCAATAGAATGGTGATCATTCATCTATTTAACCAGTATCCATTGATCTTGGTGCTACAGACATACCTTAGGTGAATAAAATGGGCAGAAATCCCTGCCTTCATATACTTTGTATTCTAATGGAAAAAGAGAAATAATGAATAATACCTGAAATAAATAAATTATAGAACATGTTAGAAAAGTGTGAAAAATAGCAGTAAGGGAGATTGGGTCTGTGAAGAAGGAGAAGTGTTGTCACTTTTAAATGTAATGATCAGGGTAGGGCTCATGGAGAAAATGATTTGAGGAGTGACCTGAAGAAAATGATAACGGTTTCATTTTCTTTCCAAAAGCCATATCATAGTGGTAGGAGTATGGTAGGCAGGTACTGTGTGGAGGCAGAATGGCATGGTATTAGATAGATGTGTGTGAGATCATATTCTGTCTTACCACCTAATAAGTTTGTGTGGCTTGGAACAATGAGAAAAAAAAAAACTTTGTTTTACTCTTGATTTGAAGCTCTTAGGTTCAAACTTAATTATTTTGAAAATTATAAAGAAAAAAGGATCAACCAAACATTTATCCTGTTTTTCTTATATGAATTGCATTGCAGAGTACTTGAATAGTAAGTAAAAGTTCTTTCTAGAAGAACTGTGACTTACAACAATTGACTGTGGAATGGTGAAATTACAAAATTAACATTTTGGAACTCCTAGTGAAATAATGGATCTGAGCAGTGATCATCAGTGGATGTAAATCCTAGAATGGGGAACTTCATATGGAATGCATTAGACTCACTGCAGAGATGATGTGCCTTTCACTCTAATGCACTGGGAAGTGCACAGTGCCACCAGGAGATTATTTTTGCCAAAAGAAATACATAAGCCAAATTGAATATGCACCTTAATTAGTTTTCTAAATCAAGCAGTTTAAAGTCAGTATGGGTAGCAGAAGAACAAGTTAACCATAGGAGGATAAGATAACATGAGGACACATCAGCCAAATTCAGACTGTTGAACATCTTACAGGCGAATGACCCAGTTGCTTCAAAAAGAAAGCATTAAAAACAGGGCTTCAGGAGGGCTGAGGGGTTATCAAGATCAGGAGAGATTCTAGAGCCCTAACAAGTGAACACATTGTGTAGGCTATGTTTGGCTCCTGTTTAAAAGAAACAAACCAACTGCAAGAAGACATTTTGGTGATAACTGGAGAAGTTTGAGTATGAACTGTGTGTATTAGATGATATTAAGGAGTTGTTCATAGAATTGTGGCTATATAAAAATAAAAATGTCCTGTTGCATTATAGATACATACTAAAGTATTTACGGGTGAAATGGCATAGGTCTTAGACTTGGTCTAAAATATTTCAGCTTTACAAAAAAAGGGCAGGGGTGACAGAAGAAGAAGAAAAGTCACTGGTAGTTTATTTTTCAAAAAATCAAAATGGTAGTTTTTTTTTTTTTACGATTGTCTCTTTTTTGTGCATATTTAAAATTTTTCATAATTTTTAAAGCATTAATTATAACTCAGAAAAATGGTGTGGGAATTTTATCTGGGGATGCATACTTCTCCACAACCCTAATAAATATCTAAGAAAAAAGTAAAGGGTGAAGCTTGACACCAGTCGAGTATCATTTAATAAGTCAGCTCATACTTTCTTTTACAGAAGTTGTAAATTAGATTTTGAAATATCGTATTCTTTTGCCTAAATTTGGAGTTACCTTTTTAAAGGAAACAAACAAAATCAGCTTGCATAAAGATTTGTGTGTCTTGAGAAAGTTGGATAGATAAATGTATATCTTATAAAGGATTCCCTTTTGAATATTTTCTAAAGCACAACGAATCAGAAGCTCTGGGCTGTGGAGCTTCAGAAGACGATCTCCAGAGACAACAAGTACGTGCTTCTGGCTTCTGAGCAGTTGGTGGGCGTCTGCTTATTTGTTTTTATCAGGCCACAACATGCTCCTTTTATCAGGTCAGTAAACAGGGCACTCTCCTAAAACTACTTCCTACTAGTAAGTAACAAGAATGTTGCTTCAGAGAAACAGGTGTCCATAGTTCTTGTTTTAAAATGTGTTTTTGATTCAAGAGTCACTTAGTTTCATTGTAATATTTTGTCCTCAATTTACCTTTTGACAGGTAGTTATATAATTATGTAACAGATAATTTCCTGTGCTCACAGAATTGTTGAACTGTCAGATTTTCCATTGAGAATTCTATTTTAAAGGGATGTTGCAGTTGACACTGTGAAGACTGGGATGGGAGGTGCCACTGGAAACAAGGGAGCAGTTGCAATCCGCATGCTCTTCCACACCACCAGCCTTTGCTTCGTCTGTAGTCATTTCGCTGCAGGGCAGTCACAAGTCAAAGAAAGAAATGAAGATTTTGTAGAAATAGCACGGAAATTGAGTTTTCCTATGGTGAGTTTCTTCTCATTTTTTTGTGTTCTTTTACAGTACTGGTGGGGTTGGAATTCAGAGCCTCATGCTTGCTAGGAAGGCTCTCTACCAGTTGAGCCACACCCCCAGGTCTTTTTTTTTTTTTCAGGTAATGTCTTTTATTTTTCTTGGGCTGCTCTTGTATCATGTAGCTGGAACCACAATGTCCAGCTTATTTTGTTGACATGAGGTCTCACTAGCTTTTTGCCCAGGCTGGCGAAGTAAATCCTCCCTGGTGTGAGCCACCATACCCTGCCCTTACTGTTTGTTCCCAAAGAAACATTGAATTTCATTTTAATTTACCAAAGTTCTGTATTAAGGTTTTTGAAATTTTAAGATTTTAGAAATAAGCAACATTCACCTGTTTCATATGTTGTTAACTGTTGGGTTAAAGAAACCAGGTTTGGGAGAAAGTAAGCATATCTGAGGCAAAGAAATAATATAAAACAGTTTTGAAAAATTGATTGCTTCAATTTAAAAATTTCATCTTATTGCTTCCAGGGAAGGATGCTATTTTCCCATGACTATGTGTTTTGGTGTGGTGATTTCAACTATCGAATTGATCTTCCTAATGAAGAAGTCAAAGAGCTCATAAGACAGCAAAATTGGGATTCTCTTATAGCAGGAGATCAACTTATCAATCAAAAAAATGCTGGACAGGTATATACATTCTTGAGAAGATACTTGCATTGAGAAAAAAAGAGGGGGATTTGTTATGAAACCTGCTTTCCTTAAGCAGTTTTTTAATTTCTTGGGAGCTACTTATAATTAAATATCTATCTGTAAATAAACAGATACAGAATTACTTTTTCTGAAAGGGGGTGGGAGGAGAGAGAGAAAAGAAAGGAAGGAAAGGAGGAAGGGGAAAAGGAAATGGAAATCCATAATTCTTCCCAGGGAGAAAAAAATTTGTGTCTATAAGATGTACTTTCAAATAGGAAGGATAAGGATATACTCTTGGGATGGAGAGAGGCAATAGTTAGAATCTTAGTTTAAGTAGAAGCATTTGGGGGCCACTTGGTATAGTGCCTGGGGATCATCAGACTTGAATTCTTACACATAGGGCACTGTTTAACCTTGTTAGGCATCTTAGGTAATTTTCTAAATCCCATGCAGTTTTAAATGCCCCACGTGGCTAAAAAGCAGGGGGATTTCCTTATTTATGTTTTTATAGTTCGTTTAATTGAAGATCAAACAAGTGATATGAAAAAGGCTACATCTTGAGTGATTTCATCTGAGAATATCCAGCACATAATAGAACTTTAATGAAAGTCTGTCCTAATGAAAACAAATTCTTATGCATTTTGAAATTACTTAACTTCATGTATATTTGTTTTAGATTTTTAGAGGATTTTTAGAAGGGAAAGTAACCTTTGCTCCAACCTATAAATATGACTTGTTTTCTGATGACTATGACACCAGTGAGAAGTGCCGCACCCCTGCGTGGACAGACCGTGTCCTCTGGAGAAGGAGGAAGTGGCCTTTTGATAGATCAGGTTAGAAATGGAGTTCTTTATTTAGATGAATTGTGACAATTTTATGAGGAAAAGGAATGAAATAAATATTAACTAAGAGAGCTGTAAAAAAAAGAGAGAAAGTTCATCTAGAACAGAGTAAATAAAATTTAAATATTATGTTATAAATCTATTTTCTTTTCACTGACATAATTTCATATAAATAAAAGCAAGGAAGACCATGCACAGTGGCTTCAGTCTGTGGTCTTAGCCACTTGGGAGGTAGAGATTGAGAGGATCGTGGTTTGAGGCCAGTCTGGACAAAAAGTTTGAAAGACTCCCGTCTCAACCAGTGGCTGAGCATGATGGGGTATATTTGTAATTTCAGCTGTGCAAGGAAGTACAAATCACAGTTTAGGCCAGCCCAAGCATAAAGCAGAACCTATCTCAAAAATAACCAGAGCAAAAATGGCTGGTGACATGGCTCAGGTTGTAGAGCACCTGCCTACCAAGCAGGAAACCCTGAGTTCAACCCTTAGTAAATGCCAAAAGAAAAAAAAAAATTGTGACGTGTTCAACTGAGTGCTAATTTGGGTTTTTAAAATAACTATAGTAGTTTACATGTAACTGGAACTGTTAATTGTCTATTGAATTATTTGTGGAACACTTTAGTTACAGACCTCTAAATAATCTTAAAAGTAAGGCGACATATTAATTCTTACTAACAGTAAAACCTTTCTAATTTAAATGTATCTAGACTTCCTGCCTATTACCATGTGTATCTGGCCTCAGTCAGCTGAAGCTAATGACAGAAGGAGGCACCTCTTAAGTTCCACATGGTATGTCCTGCTCAAATGGCTTCTCTTGCACTTTCTTTTGTCCTGACTGCAGCTGAAGATTTGGATCTTTTGAATGCTAGTTTTCAAGATGAAAGCAAAATCCTCTACACTTGGACTCCTGGCACTTTGCTGCACTATGGAAGAGCGGAGCTGAAGACCTCTGACCATAGGTTTGAACAGTCTCAGTATTTCTCATGGACTAGAATTGTGTTTGAAATGCACACTTCCCTTTAAAAACTTTTCTAATACATCTATCTTTCTTTATGCCTTAAGGCCTGTTGTTGCCCTGATTGATATAGATATATTTGAAGTTGAAGCCGAAGAGAGGCAAAACATTTATAAGGAAGTAATTGCAGTTCAGGGTCCACCAGATGGTACAGTATTGGTCTCAATCAAAAGTTCTTCACAAGAAAATAATTTTTTCGATGATGCTTTGATTGATGAGCTTCTGCAGCAGTTTGCAAATTTTGGTGAAGTTATACTCATAAGGTGAGTAACATATTACTACCCAAAAGCAGATCCTGATTCATGAACAATAGTTTCTATATTAGAAATCACCTCATGTAGTATTTGAATAGTGTATGAGTACTGCTATTTCTAAACCAAAAAGGAATCATCTATACATGTTATTCAAAGAGCTTAAGTTTTGAAACTGAATTCGCTATGTAGGAAGCTTAAATTGAATAAGGGAACAAGGGAAGACAGAAATACGTGCAAGTTTAAGGATGGCCTTTTTGAGATTCCTATACAGTAGAACATATAACAAAGTTTTATGTTATATGTATATAAAAAACATATAACATATAACAAAGAACATATAAAAAGGAGAGATTAAAGTAAAGTGAGCATACATGGTAGCACACGTCAGGAATTCCATCACTCAGAAGACTGAGGTAGACGGATCTCAAGTTTGAGGCCAGCCTGAGCTGCATAACAAGACCCTGTCTCAAATAAATAAATAAATAACATAAATAAAGTAGAGAAATTTTTCCTCCATCCACGTAACAAATTTTTTTTCTTTTTAAAGTATTTTTTCTTGTTTTTTGTGTTTTTTTCTTCAGTTTAAGAAATTTGATGGTTAAAGTTATTGTCAGTATTTTTAATTTCCAGCTAACAGAGATGTAATGAATAGTCAGGAGTCATCCAGTCCAGTCTTGCTTTCCCTGTTGATTTAACCATTTGGCTTTTGCAGAGGCAGATGCCTCTTTTTCCTTGTTTTAAAGTGTTTTCTTCCATATGTACAGCAATTTTTAGAGACTGAATGGGGTGTGTATGTGTGTGTGTGTGTGTAAACCCACAGGGAAAGAAGTACTTTTCTATTAAATTCCTTTTTGTGTTATTCATTTGCTTTTTTAAGATAAGTTTTGTAGACATTTGGTAAACAAATCAGTATGCTAGTATGGAAGAGCAGAGATCTTAAAGACATGACTCCTATTTCAATCTAGTTTGGAAGATCAGCATAATGGTTTTCTCAGATCCTAAACAGCACTGACCACAGAATCAGGATGGTGTGGTTTTTATAAAGTAGAAGTCGTGTCAAATATTTGACAGCAATCTACTCTAAACCTTTAAAAAGAAACAAAACAAAAACTTCTAAAATCTCAAGGTTCTAAGAAGTACACAATGAAATCTTTCAGATTTACAGATGACAGTAAGCTTTGCCAAGTGTAGAAATGCCAGACTACCAGAAGGAAGCATCTTCTAGACTGTGTCAGTGGGCAGCAAAGGAGCAGATAAATGTCTTCATGAGCAAATGTAAAATATTGCACTATCTAGGAATATTCTAGACTAATAAAGAAGGGATCTGTGTCTTTATAACCCAGTGGGTTCTTCCTAGCTCAAAATTGGAGCCAAAGCTTTTCTCAAAATGCTTGTCATCACTAGGGAAAGTATTGGTAAGGAAATAAGGCATTACTCTAAATATCAAATTGTGGGGTGTCTCCATACCTAGAATATTCTGGTTGTTATACCCAATGACAAACCAGGTTAGTTAAAGAAAACCAGACAAAGTAAAGAGAGGACTACTGTAAGCAGTAAGACTAAATTTTCCCCTTTTGGTCTACAACAGGACAGTCATTAGAGTGGCTGAAGTCTATAAATTCCTTTATATTTAAATAAGGGTTTTCCTGGAAATATACATGGGACAAATTTAAATAGTAATATTAATTGAGGGAAATGTCTAGAAGTTATTACCCTAGTGAGTGAAAGCAGAAAGAAAAATAGTTTCTGAAAACACCTAATAAATCCATGAATATAAGATCCAGAATCCCTTATTAAAGTTAAAAATGTATCAGGAGCACTTTGCTGATTAAGGGTAAGTACCAAGAGATTAGCCTTGTCCTAGGACCACAAATGCTTTGGTAACACTATCAAAGAACAGTGGCATTTGGAGCTGGGGAGACTGGTGCAGTCTAAATCCAGACATACAAGGGATTATAACCTTTGGAGAGAGGTTATCCTCCATGGCCAACAATTTGGAAAAGATATTTTCATGGTGTTTAGATAAGAATGATGCTTCAATGTATTTCAAATGTCAACATCCTGAAACTTAACTTCCTGCATGTTCAAGTGATTGTAAAAAATCTGTCTCAGATTCTTGATTTCAACAGGGAAAAGTGCTGGTCCACACTTTTGGTTTTGGCTTTTTCCTCTTAAAATGCATAGTCCATACTTTTGAATACGAGAGAGAGAGAAAGAACCTTTTCTTCGTAAAGAGAGAGTATGTGTGTGTGTCACTGTATTATACGTATTTTCTTCACTTTTGATAGTTCAACTGGCCAAATTGTTTCTGTACATAAGAATGATAGTGTTTTATTCTTTTGTGCACAATAACCTTACTACTTATCGTGACCATCTTCAGAATTTGTTCCGAAGACGTTTGATTTTTTTTCCTTTTTGGAGATTTTTTATTTCCTAAGTATACACTTAAGAGTCATCACAAAGACCATTGAAGAACTCAGAGAGTAAAAAATAATGTCTACAGACAAAGACCCCAACCTAACACTCCTTGGGTCCTGTTGGATTTTGGTTTTTCCTTTTTCACTGGCATTCCCTACCATCTTTCTTGATCAAAGGAAGTGTCTTTCAGGGAAGTCATTGAGACTGAAAATACATAGTACTGGACTGTGGTGGTAGGAGAGTTTGCTCTAGCGCTGGAGTGTACTCTCCTTTGAGGTCACTTTAGACAGGGCCATTTTTCCTAACTGTTTTGTTAGCATGGTGGTTGTTGGGCCCTGGCAGTGGAATGCTATAGAATGATGCCTCCTTCCTGTTCACTTCCTGCCTCTCCCTGTTCAACAGTAACCAGAGGCATTGGATCAGCTAGGTGTGAGGAGTTAATGATGGATTTTCTAAATTGCTTTTCTCTTTTTTAAAGATTCGTAGAAGATAAAATGTGGGTTACATTTTTGGAGGGAAGCTCTGCCTTGAGTGTTCTGAACCTAAATGGTAAAGAGGTAAGGAAGATTTATCGATTCTAAAACATTTTGAAGATTATATAGGCATGCAGAAAGATTATCTAAATGTATTTTCAGATTAGGAAAATAAAAGACCTATGTTCTAGGATTATTTCCTATTTTTATTTAGACCAGTTTTCTAGAGGTACTCTAGTCCCTTAACCATTGATATAAACTAAAAAGCCATATTTATCATTGTTATATTTTATGATGTAAAATGTTTTAAATTTTTAAGCATAGATACTCTGGCTCATCTATTAGTAGAAAAGATTTCTGTCAAGTGATGAAAATGCTTTATTTCATAAGAGAACAAGGAAAGAAGGTTCTCATTCATTATTCCTAGGAACTTGTTTTGGTGGTTTGGTTTATAGTAAGTTATCAAGTTACCTTTTTCAAGCATAGATAAAATAATTCCCATAGATGACAAATCTTTCCCACTGTAGCATTTTAGAAGTTTTTAACTAAATGGAGATATTCTTAACCTGCAACTTGAAATGTCATCCATGGGGGAAATTTACATTGAAGGCCTGAAATAGTTTTACTTCTTTGAAGTGGTGCTATATCCATGATTTTTTTTGAAAGGATGGTCTATCATCCAGACCTAATTTCTCCAACAATGGGCATCTCCTTAAGGATTTTCCTGAGCTTCCTCTTCTGTAACAATTACTTAACTTCCTTGGAGAAAAATATTTGCGTGTGTATATTGCTTTTGAAAACTTGTTTGTTTTCCTGAATGTAGTGCTAGTGTGTTCATGCAAAAGTAAATCAGGAAATACAGAAAAGTATTAAAAAAAAAAAGACTACTCATAATCTACCATTTTTTAATAATTTCTTTTTATTTTCTTATAATTATCTGTAAGTGCGATTGTGTGTGTGTGTGTGTGTGCACAAATGCAAATGACAGCTTGTAAATGCTATTTTCTGACTTCGTCTTTACTTGAAACTGTAATAATCATCTTTCTGTATAAATGAGTATGTCATTTGTAATGGCTATGTTAATTTCATTATGTGGATAAATACATAATTTACCTAACCAAGCTCCTATTAATAGGCATCTAGATTATTTGCAGTTTTAAACTATTTTAGAACCAACATTCAGGGAACCCCTATGTATACCTACAACTTTGTAGGCGTATCCTATTATTCCTTAGAATAAATTCTTAAATACAAAATTGCTATGTCAATAAGTATAGACATTAGATTTTGATTCTTGTTGCCAAATTGATCAAGTTATACTGTACTCAGGATTATCTCTGTGTAACATGCTAATTGATAATTGGACTTATTTTTTACTTTGACCATCTGTTCTAAGATTTTGATTACTAGAAGTAAAGTATTTTTAATTTTTTGTTTGTTGATCACATGTACTTCTGTGACTAGCTGTTCATGTTTTTAGCCTATTTTTGTCTGCTCTTGGCTGTGCTGGGGATTAAATCCACTGCCTGAGCAAGTGCTCTGCCATTGAGTTTTATTTTTGGCCCCAGCCCATTTTCCACTGGGCTGTTCCTCTCTGGAAGTTCCCTTTATGTTAAAGGTATTAATTCCACACTATATTTACTGAGAATGTTTTTCCTAGTTTGTCTTGTAATTCTGTTGCTTTAACTATATAAAAATTACTGAATTTTAATTTAATTCTAGCCTTGGTCTGTAGAGTCCTTCCTCATCCCAAGGTGATGAAAACATTAAAACGCAGCTCTCAATTTGACATCTTTTGACAGCTCTTACTTCTCTTATTTCCCCTTGGAATGTTTCTTTCATCCTTTCTTGATAGTTTACTTTTCCTGGTTTTGTATTTTCCCCCTGCACTCTGTCCCTCACCCTCGCTTTTGGTCACCTGTGCTACACTCTTAGAAAGTACTCACTCCTAGCTCCCTGAAAAGATTTTCAAAATTCTGTGGAAGTTAAAGTTGTGGAAAAGTATAAAATAATTTTTAACTGATCCTTTCGAAAGTGACACAGTGACAAACTTGTAGTTTGCTACCTTTGTTGGCACCGTTACTTGACCCTTAAGTCTTTGAGGGTCAGTAAGAATTCTTGCATTTCGGAGGCAGAGCTGATTAGATGCGTGGCGTAAGCAAGACAAGCCAGAATAATGAACTTCTTGAGTACTTTTCCCTCATCTCCATTTCTTCCTTTTTATTTGGCTCTGACCTCTACCAAGTGGATATTCCTAAACAATGTGAATCTTTTCTGAGGGATGTGGAGGATTAAGTGGGGTTTGAACTCGGGCCTCACGCTTGTCAGGCAAGCGCTTTACTACTTGAGCCACCCTGCCAGGCCAAGGATGTGTGTTAAACAGCCACTATTGTTTTGGTTTTGGTAGTGCTGTGGTTTGGACTCAGGGCTTTGCACTTAAATGGCCATTACTGTGATAATGGCTTAAGAATGATTAATAGTATTCTTTGGTGAATGTAAGAGAACTTTGTTGACTTTATAAAGTAATAAATGACCTCTAAAACATGTCTAAGTTATGAAATTGGTTTGATTTTAATACTTGGATATGATAATCAAGTAAAGGATTAGTAATTCTAAGGATGTAACTTCAAAGCTGAGTTTGGATGCTAAATTACTACCACCACACTGTGGTTCAGGCTAGTGGCTTTCAGCCTCCAAGGAGTTCTAATTTCAAACACTCGGAACCTGGGGAGGTCTGTATGCACAAAGGTGCCAACAGTCAGCACAGCATACTGACCACACACAGTTCATTTGCAAATACAAAAAGGGTCTTGTCTTGTTCCTATCAAGAAGCTCTTCAAACAAGAGAAGTTAAAACTGTGTGAGAGAGCTTATAATGTGTAAAGCAAAATTGTTATATGTATATGGATTTTAAGTGAGAACTTCTTTCTCTTGCACAATCTGTTTATCCTTAACCAAGGAGTCATATGACTATAAGCAGTTTTTTTTTTCTCATTTTTCTTTTATTATTCATATGTGCATACAAGGCTTGGTTCATTTCTCCCCCCGCCCCCACCCCCTCCCTTACCACCCACTCTGCCCCCTCCCCCCCCCCAATACCCAGCAGAAACTATTTTGCCCTTATTTCTAATTTTGTTGTAGAGAGAGTATAAGCAATAATAGGAAGGAACAAGGGTTTTTGCTGGTTGAGATAAGGATAGCTATACAGGGCATTGACTCACATTGATTTCCTGTGTGTGGGTGTTACCTTCTAGGTTAATTCTTTTTGATCTAACCTTTTCTCTAGTACCTGTTCCCCTTTTCCTATTGGCCTCAGTTGCTTTAAGGTATCTGCTTTAGTTTCTCTGCGTTAAGGGCAACAAATGCTAGCTAGTTTTTTAGGTGTCTTACCTATCCTCACCACTCCCTTGTGTGCTCTCGCTTTTATCATGTGCTCATAGTCCAATCCCCTTGTTGTGTTTGCCCTTGATCTAATGTCCACATATATAAGCAGTTTTTTGAAACTATCTGCAGGACATGGTTGGTGGTTTGATTAAATCATACTTTAGGGATTGAGGGCAAGGGTCAAGTGGTAGAACACCTGCCTAAGTGCAAACCCCAGTACTAAAAAAAAAAAGAAAAAGAAAAAATCGTACTTTAGTCTAAAATCATACTTTATAACAAAGGCAGAGTGCTGGTTTTAAGAATGATGAACTTTGATGGAAGATTTTAAATGGTCTTCAGTTCTCACAATTGTCCTCTGACATTTGAAATGCTAAAACTATAGGTTAGCATCTAACAGCTGACAGTAGAGCAGCTCTCAGGCCCATTAAGCCAAGATATTGAGGACCAAATAAACAGGAAGCAACTGTAGTTGTTTCAGTGTAGGAACAATTAACGTGTGGATCAAAGTCAAAGTATAAAATTATGTAGCAAAGTTGTCTGAGAATGAATTTATATCTGACCAGAAAAAGATAGTGGCTATGTAAAGGAAACTTGAATCTTTGTACAGCCTAGAAAAGGCCTTTATTTAGCTTCACAAACTTTTAAAGGCAGAATGGGAATCCCCTGTATGAGAGAGAAAGAGAGAAAGAATTGGGAACAACCTTCATGCTATTTAAAAATTTAGTATGTGAAAGCATATATTGAGTCTAACTAAATTAACTGTTTTTTACCATTGCATAGAATAACACAGACCCTTTATTCCAGAAGTTTTCATGTTGATGAATTTTTATTTTTATGTCTTTTATTCAATTAGCTATTGAATCGGACTATAACTATTTCTTTAAAAAGTCCAGACTGGATCAAAAATTTGGAAGAAGAAATGAGCTTAGAGAAAATTAGTGTTACGTTGCCTTCGTCAACGAGCTCCACCCTGCTTGGTGAAGATGCGGAGGTTGCAGCAGATTTCGACATGGAAGGTTTGTTTGTTGAGGACACAGCAGTGTAAATTAGGATGTTTTACATAGTATTGTGTTTATGTTGCTTGGCCTTTGTAATGTATTTGCCACTCTGCCATTAAATATTAAGACCTTTGTAAATGTTGGTACATATTCTTATGTGATCATAGCATAAATTGGTATTTTGGGTGTGTTGTTTGGTCTCAATAATTACAGCTAACTAGAAGTTCCAAGTGAGTATTCTGAACAGCAGAAATGAGTTCCCAGTAATTACTACAAAAGAGGATATGTTTCACAGTCATTTAGAAAGACTGTGGCTAGGAACAATACATTTGAAGCTCCATATAAATGTAACCACTTAAAGTATACAATTTTGGACAGGTTATCTTGATATCATAATTTCATGAAACATGATTTTAAAAACAATGCACTTGCCTTCTAATGCTATCTGTTCTTTTCTAGCATATTTATCATTAAAATACATACCTTAGGGATGAGTGTAGCTGTGATAGAGTGTGTGCTTAAGCATGTACAGGACCTTGGGTTCAATACCAAGTACCCGCCCACCAAAAATGCATGCCTTAGTTTATCAAATGACTGCATACGATATTGTGATAGCTATACAGCTAGATATTACATTTAAGAAGTAAACAACTTACAAGGTTATCTCTGGGTTTCACACTCTTTGGTCACTTACTAAATCAACATATGTATGTAGTACCTTTTATTTGCCAGGTATATGCTAGGTGCTGGAAATTCAGTAGCTGTAGTCCTTGCCATTTTAGAATGCACAGCTTATTGGGTGTTACACCCAAATGTTCAGGCAATTATAATAAAATATTATTAAGGTGGTAGCTCATGAGAGAGCTGCCTGGCTTGGTCTGAGGATTGGGCAAGGCTTCTCAGGGAAATTAAATATGTGAGAATATGAAGAATGAAGAAGAATCGGAGTGAAGAGGATAGAAAGGAATGACTTTAGGGGAAAGCATGTGCATAAGCCTGAGGAGAAAGAGGATATAAATTGATTGTGCAAGCATGTTTGAAAGGGAGTAAATGAAGAAAAAAAATTCAGGAGGGGAGCAGTTGTGGGATTGAGGATGGAGTTTGTTCTGAACATGTTGTATTTGAGATGTCTGTGGGGTCAGTTGGTCCAGATGTCAGCTGATGGGTGTATGGGTATTCAGGAGAGCTCTAGATTCACAAGCTAGCTGTAATGCTGAATAACTCCACAGGCATTTATTTCTTTAGGTAGAATTAGATAGAGATAGGAGAAAATGAAACGAACATGAAGAAACGGTTCAAGGATAGGTAGAAGAAAAAGGGGCATATGCTTCAAAGATCCTTAACCCATGAGTAAAGCCCCCAAAGTAGCACCCCCATGATAGGCCTGTGGTGAAGAGTGGCTGTAGCTCTAGGTTAACCCTACCTGACTGCCTGGTAGAGGCCCTTCTCTGCACTTACTTTTGATTTGGATATTCTTTCCCTAAGGGACTCCATTCTCTGCATAGATAGCTGAGTCGCCCAGTCTTAACATAGCACCTACTGGCTTCTTCTGACCTTTCCAACTCAATATCTTGGCTTTTAGTGTAACCAGTGAATCTGTAGTGACCTTCTTACCTGGATCCCTTTGCTCTCTTGTGGGGAAGGTAGGGATAGGGTAAATATGTTGTATAGGTTAGGGATCTTCTGGTTTTCAATCATAGAAAACCTAATTCAAATTCACGTGTGATAATAAAAAAAAAAGATTGATTGGCTCAATACTGGAAAGTCCAGAGGTAGTGCTGGCTCCAGGTGAAGCTTGATCTGTTTGCTTTATGTTTTTAAATACCTGATTGATTTTTAGTCTCACTACTCTACCTAATTTAAATCATCTAAGTGTGGGCCACTTCATACCTGCCAGCACTCCTTGGATTACTTGTTTGTCCATTCAGAAAAATTAGATATCATTGTGCCAGAAATCCTAGCAAAAACCTAAATATTGACTCTGATTAGGCCAGCCTGGGTCACATGTCCACCCTTGACCTATCAGTGTGAGTAGGAGGATGGTATATTAATCATGGACCACACCTTTGAGGAAAAGGGTAGAATCAGCTTCCTCAAAATCACAGATTACACAGACAGAGACTGGGGGAGGATGGTGCTACAAGGCAGCTAACACCCAGCTACAACTACCAAGTTCATGCATTTGATCTTGCTAAGTTGAGATCAGCTATACCTGCTGCTTTTTCCCTCATTGTTGCATTTCCCTTACTGCAACTGTAGTTTCTTTCCTCGTGTCCATCTCTGAAGGAGAGAGGGAAGTCACTCTCATCTAAATGAGAGGACCTCATTTAGAGTCCCTAAGGACCTCCTGTTCACTCTCACTTCGATGACAAGTCCTTTTTTACCACCTACATCTCAAAGTCAGAACTCCTTCCTTTTCCTGTTTCTGAATTTTCCCTTTCTCCTCATTCCTGCTTCCTTATCCCCCAGCCTATTATTGCCTCTTTCACCAAGTGGAATGAAAGATTACTTCCTAGTCATTTCATTAAATTCACTCTGTATCCACCAGGTGTCAGTCTTCTGTCATACATGTGTAAGAATTTAGCCAGAGCTGTGGGATTTAGGTTAAATATATGGAAGGAGGAGGTTGTTTTGCATGGCAGGGAGCACCAGCAGAAGATCATATTCTCCAGGTGTGTCTTTGGAAAAGCGGTAAACCAACCCATATTTATTGAGGACCCACTTTGTCCTTTACATAAGATAACTTCTGCCAGGAAATCTTGTTTCTTCCCAAGAAATACAGATTTTCTTTCAGGGAGATATCATTCATTTGTCCACTTATTTCACGACAGCAGTTTCTTAAAAAAATTATATGTAATATTTGACATCTATGAAGAATACATGTAAGAATTAATAAATTATGAAATATAATGACTACCCATGACCCATCACTATTTACACATGAAAACATAAGCAATGTCATTGAGTTTGTGTTCCTCCCTGTCCTGTCCCCACTGCCTCTTCCTAGAGGTAATCACTGTCCTTGATTTTGTGTTTAATCACTTGTTATATATGGTTTAACCACATATGTATATTCTGTAAAAGCATACTAGTTTTTCGTGTTTTTTAATTTACGAAAGTGTTAGTCTGCTAGTCCCTTGAAGTTTGCCTCGTCCCACTGAGCATTGCTTCTAAGACTCACCATGTTATGATAGCTATACTCACTCACTGTCATATGCATAATGTTCCAGCAAGTGCATAAGCCACAGCTCATTTAGCCATTCACCTATCAGTGGATAGTTGGGGTGTTTGCAGTATTTTGCTATTTCACAATGATGCTATAACATTCTTGTAGATGTTGGTGCCTTTGTTTGTTACTAAGATTTCTAAAGAGATTTCTGAGATGGTGCTTCTGGTCTGTATACAATTGCAGACTGTTGTATTATTCTATACCTCAGCAAAGTTTATATCAGATTGAAATGAACTGTTCTTAAATGTTTGGTAAAATTTACCTGTAAAGCTCCCCCCCACAAAAAAAAGGATAGGTAGAAGAAGACTGCCTGTGAAAGGAAATGAGACAAAGCAACTGGAAATGTAAGAGAGCCAAGAGAAATTTGTGGCATAAAAAAATCAAAAGTCAAAAGAAGAAAGAGGAACTGAGAGAGAAAACTGCAGGGCTGAGAGAAGGGGGGTCAGAATAAAGTACTCTAGTTTAATATCTCATAGGTAGTATAGTCTGAGGGTTTGTTGTAGGGAGAAGAGAGTGTCAGTAAGGATAAGTCTTTGGCATTTAAGCTGTTGAATGGGTTGTCCACCTGGGCTTTGATGTCACACAGAAAGGTGGTATGACCCATTTACCCTTGTGTTCTCTTCTTAGTCCTAATGAATGGGTTGGAGTGACTGGAAGGATAGAGATTGGAGATTGCTACACCAAGTCAAGAAAGTGTCATATAAATTCCTGATGGCATAGCCTTAAAGAAATAGGACTTGTTTAGGGGTAGAAGGTTAATGTTCTAGAATTGGAATTCCATTGCAAGGAGCACCCCAACCCAGCTTTCCAGTGGAAATGAGACTCAGGGAAGAAACAGTGTTCAGTTAAAGCAAAGAAGGTCCATGTTGGGTGAGTGGGCATGAAAGAAAAAGCTTCTGATGAAGGGTATGTGATTGCCTGAGAGCTTGTTTTCCAACGCTGAACCTAAACCTGGGTAAGCCTGGGGCGGGGGCAGTCCCATAAAGCACAACTAGATGGACTTGCAGGGACAGCGGTCCACCTCTGAGTCACCTGTATTGCACTGCCTGCTCAGGGAGTAAAGAAAAAGCCCTTTAGTCAGCCCAGCTCCAAATGGTATTATTCTGAGGTGGTGGTCCTACATTTTCTGTAAGAACATTGTACTAATTCTGGGTTTATACTTGTAAATCTCTTATATATGCTTACATGCTTAATCTATGTATGTTGGCAGTGTCCTAATTTTAACATGTTAGATTTGTGCATTTTAGCCCTTCAAAAGCTAATGTGGAAAAACAAATCTCTGAGTTAAAATGATGGTGGCTTCCATAACCTTGCTTTTCCTCAGGTGATGTTGATGACTATAGTGCTGAAGTGGAGGAACTTCTTCCTCAGCATCTCCAGCCATCCTCAAGTTCTGGTCTTGGTACTTCCCCAAGTTCTTCACCACGGACCAGTCCCTGCCAGTCACCTACAATAGCAGAAGGTCCTGTGCCTTCCCTTCCTGTCAGACCTAGCCGGGCACCATCAAGAACTCCTGGGCCTCCAAGTTCACAGAGTATGTGTTTCACTTGAAAGTTTTTGTGACTTTCTCCAGCCAGTACGTTTGATTTTGGAGAACCGTTGTTTAGCTTCTATGCCTATATGCTGTGTTCACAAAAGAGAAGATGTTTTGCAGGTGGTGACGGCTCTTCATTGCTGTCACTGGGTGAAATTTTCTCTTGAACTTTTTTCTCTGTGGTTAGGGTTATTTGTGTCTTATAGTTGATGATCTTACCTATTGTGTGGTAATAATCCATAACTAGCAGGGCTTTTTCTTTCTCTTCTTTCTACTGATCAGCAGACTATATACAGCTTAACTCAAACAATACTTTGTGCCTTCTTGATAGGAACACTTAGTAAATCAACTTTTAACATTTAGACCTAGATAAGAAGTCAACACAGAGGTAGCATTGTTGTGGCTGTGGTACCAAAGGATAGTTTAATGGTAGACTGCTTTTGTTATTCTCACTGAAAATGTATGTCATTTCTCTAGCATACAAATTTTTTAAATTACAAAATAGAACATTTATTATACATATATATGAAGTACATTCCTTCTGACCAGCACCCACTTGGCACCTGATCTTCTTACCTACTATACTTCTGCAGGTTCTCCTGTTGACACTCAGCCAGCAACCCAGCTTCAGCAGAAAGATTCTTCCCAGACCTTAGAACCCAAGAGACCTCCCCCTCCCCGCCCAGTTGCTCCTCCCACACGTCCTGCCCCACCACAGAGACCACCACCACCTTCAGGTAACCAACCACTCTCCACAACTTTATTTTAAAATGTTTTGCACGTTTTCATTTTGCTGGTTTCTAGATTTTATCTTACTGATGGAACTAATAGGACAGATAAAATGTGTTTGCCAAGTAAATTTCTCTAGCATGTTTTCAGAGCTGAGTTCTTACCAGAGTATAAGAAATGTTTGAATTTTACTAATTTGATGTATGTAAGCTGTTCTTTGATAAAAACTAGATTTAATTTTTTTAAATCCTCATTTCTAGCTCTATAAAATCATTAAAATTTACTATTTTCTGGAAAATTTATGATTAGAACTGAAGAGCATGCATGTTATTTAATATAAAGTTAAATATTAAATAAATATAATGTTGTGACTTCAATTCTTATGTGTATATGCATTGAATAATAGCATTTTTATATTATCCAGATACTTATATAGGCCATATGTGATATTTGACATCATGAATTATGTAGCAGATCTTGACATTTCAATTCATTCAATGTCATTTCCTTTCTGCTGCATATTTTCTTATGAACTATAAAGGGGCTAGGAGTCCTGCACCTGCTAGAAAAGAATTTGGAGGTAACCATTTACATTTGCTATTGTATATGAATGCTGATTCATTAATGTTTTGGAGTTTGATCTCTGTAACTGAGAGGCAATTTAGGTTTGTTTGATAAAAGTCAAGATGAGTGATATTTGGATACTAATTTAAAAATAGCTCCAAACTTGTATTATATTCCTGTTAAGTAAAAGACTGTAGCATAGATTTATCTGTGAAAAGTACTAATGGGGGCTTCCATTTTCCGAGCAGACATAGTGGAACAACTCAACAAAATCTAATATACTTTTTTTGATAAATACAGTCAATTGGGTTAGACATTTAATTTCCAGTAGTCACATTAATTTCAAAAGGAAATCAGGTACAGTGAATGCAGAACATTTCCCAAATGTTTAATTAGTGATACTGTAATACATTCCTCTTCTAATGGAAAAAGTTAACATAGCTTCCTAGGAATAAAGTTTAAACAACTCAGCAATTATCTGAAATACATCTTTCATTTTTCATTTAGCATTAACTAGTTATCAAACCCTTACCTCATTTATTTATGTAAGAACTATATGATTTTCTTCTTTTCTATGAGGAAATTTTTCCCAAATGGGTCACTTTGTTTAAAGTATATTTATTTGGTTGACCTGAAAACCCTCAGAGCTCAGTTGGAAGAATACATTTGACCAGTTTATTTAATCTAATTCTCAAGAAAGGATGAAAAAGGCTGTCACAGTTCTTCCAAAGAACTTGTGCAAATCCAGTTTTAATATTACTGAGACCCATCCCCTGCCATCCATGCATAGTTCTGTTTCTGTTCTAGTTGCCTAATGACATTGCTGATCAGTTTAGGTTCAGATTCAAGTATTACACACTGACTTTGCTTATGTGGAGATTTTGATGACTATGTGATAAGTATAGGTAAATTATTTTAGCAGTACAGATTCCAAAAAGTAATGCTCGGTGATACTTTTTCCATCAACCTACAGAAAACATTAATTTTTCTGATTTTAAACTCTTGCTTTTGTGTATATTTTCGTGATAAATTCTATTTATTTTCTAATTTATTTGTCGGTACTCGGGCTTGAACTCAGGGCCTCATGCTTGCTAGGCAGGCGCTGTATCACTTGAGCCATTCCACCAGCCCCGTCTTCGGCTTTAAGTAGGAAACCAACCTGTAGAAAACAAATTTTAGATAAAGTGGATTGTATTATAAAAAGTATATTACCAATGCAGTATTTTTTAGAAATATGTTTTCATTAAAAAATTGCTTCTCTAAATAATTATTTTGTAGGCACTATTTGCAACATATTTTAGTCCCTAATAAGACAGGAAGCTGGGGTAAACTCATTGTACTATGCTTAGATTTTTTTAAAATAGTGCACCAAAACTAAGAGATCAATAAAGTCTCAGAGAAATTTAAAATGAAATTGAAACTCGTTGACTGTCAAATATTGGTGCTTGTGTTAGTGATTTAACTCTAGATATAAAGAAAAAGATGGTCATGAAACAAAGACTTTCATTAAACACATTTTTAAGTTCCCTATTGCTAGTAATCTCAGATGTAGGAAAAAGGTTGTCATCCCACTTCTATTCTTGGATTTGAGGAAGGAGAGGATTCAGGTTTGGGCTCAGCATCTAAAGTCACTTTGGTTTGTATTGAAATCTTCAAGAGACTTAAAGCAATAAAAGAGTCTTTGTGCAAAAGTAATTGTGTGCCTGCCTATGTCCTGTGCTGTGGGCCCTGAACAATATATAGCTTTTGTTCTTTCCTAAAAAGGTACTGGAGCCCCTCCCAGTCCTGGGGTAGCTAGGAGAGAGATGGAAGGTAACAAGATTTTTGCATCCTAGAACTGGTTCTCTCATTTTATTTCTAAGTGTCAGCCCCTTCAGTCTTTAAAGACATAGTAAATATTCTCATAGTAAACTTCCCCTCCTCATGTGCCCCTTGTATTTTACTCTTTTCATTCTGTGTTGTATGTGTGGTTTCAAATGGCCATCCATTTATTTTCCGCTGTTTGATACAGAGTTCATGTGTACTTAGGTTGTGAAGTTACTGTTCAAAGAAAAATGCCTTCAGGGTTTTTTTGTTTTTTTTTTTTTTCAGAATAAGTCAGATGTTTAGAAATGTCCTTGACTAATCTGAAATTTTAAAAATTAATAATTTAAATCTATTAAGGTCCAAGAATATAGTATTTTGTGGATGATTTCCAATAACATACATGTTTTCTGTATATATTGGTACTGGGCTAGATTATTTTAAAAGACCATTAAGACTAGGGCGCTGGAGGTGTGGCTCAAAGAGTAGAGAGCTTGCTGAGTAAGCATGAGGCCCTGTTCAGACCCAATACTGCCAAAAAAAAAAAGTGAAAGACTTAAGGCATTTGTTAAAGTTATAGTTACTAAAGCACTGCTATGTTCTATTTAATAATTATACTTGAATCTCTTTTCAAAAGAAAAATAAATACAACATAATGCTTGATAAGGAGTCCCTCTACTCGTTTTGTCTCCAAAAGTAATTTTCATTCCATCCAGCTACTTTCCTAATGAATTTGAACCCCATTGTCTTCTATAAAGCAGATATGTGGTAATAATATGTATATGCCTGTCTTCTGTCTTAATCATAGGATTTTGTAAAAGTCTAAAAGCTCTCATAAGATACTATATTCAAAGTATTGCCAACAGAGTGAAGCCCTAAAACAATGTTGTTAGCGGCTTCTTACGAAACTTGAAACATGCCTGTGGCTCCTGAACCATTTGTCTGCCATGCTGTCAGGAGCAGCAGTTGCAGTGGTCACATCTTGTGACCATTTACATAGCTAACCATATATTTTCAAGGTTTATGGAAAGATCTCTGTGAACACTATCACCTTGATTTGACCCCACAAGTGAGGCATCAGATTGGGAGCTACCTTTGTCTCCCATAAAGGTCTCTCTAATACTCTAATTTTTCACTGTTTTGGAGTATTTTATTCAGGACCAATAATAACCCTCATCCTTATCCAGAGCTAAGTGCCTTGTCTTGTGTCCTCATTTTTGCTGGTAATGAAACAGAATAGCCAATTGATGTTATGCAGTATTGTTTTATTATTTACTGATAACTAATTTTTTTTTTCTTCCTGCTCTAAAGCACCCAAAAGCCCTGGAACAACACGGAAAGATATTATAGGTAAAAACACTTGAATGTAGTTACTTACCCTTAAAATTGGACCACGAGATAGACTCTTTGGATAGAAGTATATGGTTTCTTATTTCTTCCCACTTTTATGTTTTTTACTCTTAAATATTTGTCTTTGTTCCAGGACGCAACCAGCCTTCACCTCAAGCAGGACTTGCAGGCCCAGGACCTTCTGGGTACGGTGCAGCCAGACCGGTAGGTAACACCTAGTCTGAGAGCTGAGGGGTTTCTGTTCTAGGTCTGAATTTGCAGCTTATCAGATCTTGAAGAAATCATGAGCTCCTTCAGCACCTCATTTTCCTCAACTCTAAAATGAGGGAATTGATGCTCTCTGAGGGATCTATCAACTCCAACATTATTTGAACATATCCTTCAAAATAGCTAAACAAACTTCATTGTTTGGATTAAAGTAATATACTTAAGATTATTATGATCACTAAATAAATGTCATAGTGTCTCTCAGAATATGAGAAGGTGATATATTTGGGTAGCTGTTTATCATATTATCTAATTACAGTAGACCCCTAGTGTCTATTGGTTTGTAGTTCCAAGGGAATCACCACTGAGAAAAAAAACACATACTCAGGATCCATAGAGTTCAGTACTGTACTGTGAGTGCTTGATTCATTTTTCCTATAATGCCACTCTACTTCTGCTAAAGAAATTCTGTCTTTCTCTAATTCTCAAATTTTTCATTTTATTACTTACTTCAAGCAAATAACATGTCCTTTTGGCTTGAGATGATTACTACAACATTAACCTTGCTTTGGGCACCATTTGCTTTTGGGGAGGCCTATTTTCACAAAAATGAGGGAAAGGAAACACTCAGCATATTGCACAACAACTTAAACACAACCAACGACAACACAGGAATCAACTGAGCTGTGTAATGCACAAGGGAATTTAAAAATCTTTTCAATGGCTGGTGGAATGGCTCAAGTGGTAGAGTACCTGCCTACTAAGTGCTAGGCTGTGAGTTCAAACCCCAGTACCACCCAAAAATGAAAATTCAATTTTCTTTTTTCATGGAACACTTCACAAATTTGCATCTCATCCTTTTGCAGGGGCTATGCAAATCTTCTGTGTCATTTCAATTTTAGTATATGTGCTTCCAAAGTGAGCGCTGAAATTTATTTTTATTTATTTATTTTTGGCTGCACTTAGTCAAAACTGCATATACCAAATCAATGAATGTTGTGGGTTATCCTTCAGTAAAAAGGATTTTTATTTAAAAAATCATAGTCAGTATGCTAAAACTGGTTCTGAAGGTAATAAAAATAGGAAAGTAGATGGTTTATACAGTTTTTCTCTATAACTATACAGTTTTCCGTATGTCATGTGTTTTGTTATATACATACTTTTTCTGTTATTTATGCAAATGAAAATTTTTCTCTGGGCTATAACAGGCAATCAAAAAAAAGAAAGTGAAAATGAAAAACAAAAGTTAGTAACTTAAGCCAGTATAATCACTTATATTTGAAGAGTAAGGAACAAAAACTATTACTAAACCTAGAAATTAAGGTTGTGGGAACCCAAGAAACTGCTTCTCGTGGACATACAAATGTTTCGTCTCTTCTGTTCTAGCTGACTACTTAACCATCTAGGTCCTTTCTATGTGTAATACTGCCATCCAAAGTAAAGCGTCCATACAATATACCTAAAGATAGCTATTACCCACTCTTTTATTTCAGAAAAAGGATATTTGCCATGTACTGACTCTACTATCACAAGAACTTTATTTTATTTAATACTGTAAGGAGGGAAAGTCAGGATTTTTGTGAAGTTAAATGTGCATCTTAACTTTTGCTTAAAATAGTTATTGTGGGTTTAGAGCCACAATTTTATATGAAAACAAAATATTTTTCACCAATGTGTCTTCTGGTATGCTAAATTTGGATTGTAGACTTAGTTATTCAAGAGTCTTCTTACATCTGTGTTCAAAAAAATAATCGCATGGTGTGGTTTTCTGAAGTCTTTTAGTTGCTCAGGTATCTGTTTCTCCCTGTGTTGATGAACTTTGAAGTTGCCTGTCTCTTCATGAAGGCAGCATGTATGTAGCTAGTCAGACCCGAGCATAGATCCTGGTGCTATTTTCTGCATGGGCTTAGGCAAACTGTATGCATTTCTTCACCTTGATTTAAAATAGGAATGATAAGACAATATCTACCTAAAATAGGATGATAAAATAATATCTGAGGGATATTTTGAAGATAGAATAAAAACCCCTACACAGTGCTTAAAAGTGCCTGGAACTGTAATGAGTCATAAATAAAAAGGAAGATGGGGTGTGGCTCAAGCAGTAGAGCACCTGCCTGGCAAATGCAAACCCCTGTACCACCAAAAAAAATAAAAAGGAAGATTTTAAAATTTATCATTCTGTGGCTATCAATAAAGCAATTAAAGTGACAGGGTGGGGAATAATACCAGAGAAGAGAGCAAATGAGATGCAAAAGCAAATCTTTTCACAGAATCTTGTCTGCTGAAAATAAATAAAGGTCTTAAACATTGCATTTCCTATCTGTAGACAATTCCGCCACGAGCTGGAGTGATCAGTGCCCCTCAGAGCCATGCTCGGGTATCTGCTGGAAGACTGACTCCTGAAAGCCAAAGCAAGACACTGGAGGCATCAAAAGGTAGACATTGTATTAAAAATACCCATTGCATCGCTTTGCACAAAGCTCTGTGTTCATTTCTGGAGTACAGCTAGCATGACAATCATTTGTGTTTTAGGCTCATCTGTTCTTCCAGAACCACTGAGGCCTCAGACTGCTTCTCCTCTGCAGCCTTCTCTGCCCCCACCTGCTCAAAAGTTGCAAGATCCTCTTGTTCCCATGGCAGCACCTGTGCCTCAATCTGGCCCCCACCCAAATTTGGAAACCCCACCACAGCCCCCACCTCGGAGCAGGTCATCCCATAGCTTACCTACAGAATCTTCACCACAGCTGCAAGTAAGTGTCACTACTAAACAGAATGGTATCTTTGACACATATGGCTATAGACTGTGAACACACTTATTTTTAATGATTAGCTTTTATAAGAAGTAAATATGACCTTAAATTTTCTCTTCATTTCTATTTGAGGATTATTGAGGGAGGAGTAATTGTTTGGGTTTGGTTTGGGTTTGTTTTTTTTTAACATGGTACTTAGATCAAAAATTCCCAGAGTGATGCTAGACCAGCATCACTTGCATTTCTGAGTGGTTTCTCATGTTAGTTTGCATCTTTTTTCAGTGAATAATTCAGTTAATAAATTAAAGTGAACAGCAATAATTTAGTTTTCTTGTTCACAAGAAAAAAAAATTAGCTTTGAAGAGAAGTAGATCAAATCAGTCTGAATCTGACCAGACATTGCATGTTGGTTAATTTCCATGTGCAGAGAATAATCCTTCAGTTCTCTTGATGCAAGCAGTAGTTCTTGATTGGAGGTGTGACTCAAGCAATAAGGGCACCCACTTTTCAAGGGCAAAGCCCTAGTTCAGACCACAGCACCTGGCACTGGGGTTCGTAAGGTATTTCAGACAGTTGCAGTCATTATTGATCATTTTAAATTTTTAGGCTTGCAGCTGTAGGCTCATTCACCAAAGTAAAAACCACAAGATACCAACTCACCATATTAATGTCTGATGGAAAATAGTACCTTTGCATTGACTGTTGAAATCACATGATCACAGAGACTCTTGTTCTCTCCTATTGAAACTGGAATCGACCTGCACACACACGCGCGCACACACACACACAACTGTTTTATACAGAGGTAATTGTGTAAGTTGTGTTTTATTTGGATGCTCTTTTAGTTATATTCATTTAAGTAAAGTTAGTAAAATGAAATTTAATGAGGACATTTGTTATCTCGCTATCTATAAATTCTTAATTTGAAGATGCTATCAAGGCCAAAGAAATATGTGATGTTTTAAAAGCCTGACCAGAAATACTGCTTATTGTCAATGTCCCTTAAGTATGCTTACAAGTAATCCTTTGCATTTGTTTTTATAGATATATGTGTCCAGCTTATAGTTTCTTATGTTTGTCCATGATGAAAAACAGTACAAGAGTATAGAGAAAAATAGAATGTTTTCTTAAGCTGATTAATACTGAAAAAGTATTCTACATTTTTTTAGTTCAGAAAATTGAGGTTATTAGATATTTAATAATGGTAGAAATCCTTTAAAGGATTTAAAGAATAAGTGTCCATTATTCTTTTCCCTCTGCCACTCAATTTTAGTGAGTTATGAATATTTTTTCTCATTTTCTGGAAATATGTTCTATTGTATTTTTTAAAATGTAATTGGAGGGCAAAAATCTGTCAAAATAGCCCCTTTTATTTTGCAGTTCTCAGTCAAAAGCATCTTATGACACATAGTACTGCAGTAGAAGCATGCCTGTGACACCAAACACCATTTTCTCTTGTTCCTATTTGTTTTATACTGAAGTGAGTATGGTGATTTGTGACTGACAGTGTTCTTGAATCTTGTTATTGTCAGTTCACTAAAAATGACAGAGGTGTTCGTTTTAAATTCTGAACTTTCTTCTTGCATCAGTAAGGACTGATGCAAGGATGAACATCCAATTCCTCCAAACATTATAGACACTGACACACTTTTTCCCTTTTAGAGGGTGGTGGTCTTGTTTATATTAGACTAGCTTTATGAAGGATCACAAAGTGGTTAATTTCCTCTAGAGAATGCACAAGTTCTGGTGGCCAGAAGGGAGAGGCTTTTTACCTCTTCCTTTTACCTCTTCATTGAATTTTCAACCATGAAAGTAATAGTATAAAGCACTGGAGCAATAGCTCAGAGGTAGAGCTCTTGCCTATTCTGTGTGTGAGGCCAGGGCATAGGGCATCCCTGGCACTGCAAAACAATACCATGAAGAAAATAATGTAAATTTTAAAATTCAGCTATAACTTGAAAAATACATGAACTTTCCAAATGTGGTATCAGTGAGATATTTAAATATAACAAATTTAAGTAGTTTGGGAATTGAATATTTAATAATTTTCACAGGTCTATTTAATCCTGTCCCAAATCTACAATGTATTTAAAACATATAAAGGACTCAGCTTTACTCTTTTATTATTTTAATGTGCTTTGACTTTCTATGTAGAAGGGATTATTTTAATTTGAATGATTTATAATGTGTCCTATATCCTTTACAGAGCATAAAAATTCTTCCCTTGTTTGACTTACAGCATCTTAGTCATCCTGTTATGAGCTAAGCTCCAGAAGTAAGAAAATCCGGTAGGGAATAACAGAACTCACAGCCAAGCTATTGACATGATAGTTGACAGGAAAAAGAACAAGTAGAAAATCTCAGCATTTAAGATCCATTAATAGGGGTACAGCATCCCTATATAGCTTAGAGCTGATACAAGTAACTCTAAGATCATCAAGATAGTAGTAACTTAAATTTAAGAGTCTTAAGTTAAGGACTAAGGTTCTAGCATGCACAAGACCCTGGGTTCAACCCCCAGCACTGTTTAAAAAAAAAAGTCTCACATTTAGTAGGCAGGTGACTCTTAAAGTACACAATATATTTAAGGATGGCATCTTTCTACATTGTCAAAATTGGCTTTGCTATTTAAAAATAGGATATGCTTTAAGTACTGGAAAATTCACCCCAACCTTCTCGAGAATACTATTTTTAAAAATACTGTTAAGTTACAGAAAGATTATGATTTCATTTTAAAACAATAAAAATAAGGTAGTTTCTTACCTTGTACCTTCCAGGTAATAAACTATGAAGTGTATTAAGAGTGACATCCTTTAGAAAATATGAGTAACGGAACAAGCCTGAACCCTGACCATTTTCTTAAATGAAAATTAATTTTCAGTGTGGTAGTACTTTTGCAAAGTATGGTATTTTGTATATTTTTCTCTAACACTGACCCCCAGAGGTTATTCTAGAGCTGTGTCTTAGTCTTCTTGGCCTACCATACAGAATGCCACAGAATGAGTGCTTAAACAACAGGAGCTTGTGTCTCAGATGTCTGCACTGGAATTCAAGGTCAGGGGTTCTGGTGAGGGCCCTCTTCTGGGCTTGCTGTCAGCTCTGACCACATGGCCTTCCCTTCCTGTATGCGCCTGGGGAAGAAGGGACAGGAGCAAGTGTGTATGTAGCTTCTTTGCTGTCTGTTCTCATGAGGTCACTAATCCCACCATCAGGGCCCAGCTTCATGAGTTCTTCTAACCCTAATTGCCTCCCAAAGGCTCTCCATACAAATTTATACATTAGGAGATTAGGGCTTTAATACATGATATTGAGGAGGGGATTAGGGAGGTAACAGGCCATGTAACAGGCTGCTTAAAATATTTTAGAGCTCTGAAAAGTTTCTTGGAATAACCAAACTTTGAACTGCTTAGTAATCAACCTCAGGCAGAATTAAAATTTGTATCCTAATTCAACGTAATTACAAAAGAATCAGAATTGTCTTTTGAATTTATTTATGTACAATTCACAAATACTGCTATTCTTGGATTCAGTATGTAACATAGAATTAAAATATTTTGATGACTGGAATGTTAGGGTTGCTAGTTGGTCTTGAATTGTCCTCCTAACTCTTTCCTTTGATTCTGTGTTCCCTTTCTCAAAGCAGGAGCAACCATCAGGGTAACAGGTATCTGACTATTTATCAATCTTACATGTGCTTTTCATCTGTCTTAGCACATTAGATGTATGAATCTTAGCTTCATACATCTAAAGTTTTGCCCATTTTTAAAAATACCCATCCACATTAATAAATTCTATTAGCATACCATAAAACCTTGCTTTTTTGTTTTTCTTAGTATTTTGAAATTATAGGAACCATTTTAGTTGTTCTTGCTAATGCTTTACCATTTTTTGCTTCATTTTTTATGAAAATTAACAAAACTAAAAAGTATAACTTTAAGAAGGTATGTGTTAGGTATAAAAGAGCCCATTTGGCAAAACCAAATTGGTTCTTGGTTTTAACAATGGCATAATTACACAAAATTCAATACTTTTTTCTTAGCTTTCTTTTGGGAAGTATTTTTTCAAATAATTTTAGTAGCTAATAACGATTCTTTTCAGTAAAGAAGAATTTGGTGATTTAGAAAGATGAAAATTAATATTATAACAAGATTCGTAAAGATCCTTCCAACACCTTTCTCTATTAAAATACCACCAGTTTTAATGTCATCACAAATTTACTCTAATTTGATCGATGGTGGTATAGCTCTCATGGTAATTTCAAATCTGATTGGAAAAAAGTGATCCTGCTTCTACTGCATTACCTTTATTTTAAAATAAAATTTTTTCTTATATATGAAATTAAAGACAGTTGAATGTATAACATTTATTTGGCAGGTGACTAGAAAGCTATGCAAAGCATAAAATTCTCCTTCCTATAACATCTATGCTGTGGACTGTATCTTCTTCAGAGGACTCAATCCAATTCAAAATCACCATTTTGTTATATTAATAGTAAATAATCTATGGATTATTGGTAATGTAGAGTTAATTATAATTTGATGACTATAATAAATTTTCCTGTAAGTCCATTTCCATATCTGCTTTATCTTTAATACATTTAGAATAGTATAGTCTCATGACCTTTGAATTTATTATAAATTGATTGTCATATTGTTTGAAGACAAATATAATTGTTTATTCGATATAAACTACTTTCTAGGACATTTGAATAAAGCAGATACCTGAAAGTTACTCACTTATGAGGTTACCCTACTGTTTTCTACAAATGAACAGTCTTCCCTATTATTAAGCACTAAGTTACATGTTTCATAATGTACATTTACATTTTATAGAAACTCCTGTTCTTTTCCCTGACATATTTCATGAGAGTTCAGTTATTTTGCTTTAACAACTATCTAAATTCACTTTGGGTAGTGTTCTATATTGTTACATTGCAAGTCTTGAGCTGAATTCTCCCTTCCCTTCACTTTCCTTTCCAACCCCAAAGTTTTATTTTTATTTTCTTATCTTTAAAGTTGGCATAAGTGTGCAATTCATTTACCTAGTTTTAAGATTATGTAGTCTTTTGAAAATTAATAATGAAATGCCTGATGAGCTCATTTGCCCTGAGGTCATGATCATAGTTCTTTTCTCCATCAAGAGAGCTGGCTTTACTCAGCCCCATGGCTGTGTTCCACTCAACCAGCTTTGTGAATTCGGCACAAAGGAATTTAGGAAAGAGTGCAGACTTTTTATGGCATAAATTAATTCTTAACACTATTGCTGGTATCAGTTTATGTCCAACACCATTTGGGGCACAGCTTTATTTTGATTTTAGAATTAACTTGTCAAATAGAAAACATACCCCTCCCCCTCATTTGGTTATGAGTAGCATACCTATTTTGTTTGACAAGATGAGAAAGATCCATTTAAGGAAAGTTGTCACATTATTCACAGAGTTTATTCTACAAAGGAGAGTTTATGTTAAAATTAGAACACTTTGAAAATTTATTTTTCCAAATAGAAAAGATACTGTCTACAGCTTAGGAGTACAAAATATATTAATAGAATTAACTTTTATCCATAAAAGTAAATTTCTGTAGTACCAATTTAAGTGAAAATATACTTTAAGGAAAAGTCATAGAACAACCGTATCATCCTCATAGATTGGTGTTGGAAGTTTATTATATAGATTTAACATAAGGTATAAGTATGAGCCTCTCAAGCTCATGTTAAAATTTGAAAAAACTAGGCATCAATAAATTGTTAATTTTGTATAATTCTCTTCCTTATCATTTCCAAAGTTGCACAAATGTAGTAAGTTCTGTCTCATTTTCTTGGAATTTAAAAAACATAAATTTAATAAAAGATTTATTAAGGAATTCTTAAAGTATAAAACTTTAGTTTATTTCATCCTACTTAAACCAATAGTTACAAACTAAACAAATGGTACTTTTTAGTTTCTAAAGTTGTATACTTGCCTAAGAAAAGGAAGAATAATTGAACCTGGAAGAAAAGAGGCAATTAATAATATAAACTGATAATTCAGTATTCTTATTCTTTTCCAGGTAAAAATAAATGGAGTCTCTGGTATCAAACAAGAACCACTATTAAAGAGTGACCCATTTGAAGATCTGTCATTTAATCTGCTTGCTGTATCAAAGCCTCAGCTATCTGTTCAGATGTCATCTGTTCTAACCCCAGACCCAAAGAGGTTGATTCAGTTTCCTTCTACAACACAAAGTAACGTTAATACTTTGAGTTCTATAAGTTGCATGCCAGCCATGCCTCCAGTCCCAGCCCGAAGTAAATCACAGGAAAGTACGAGAGGTTCTCCAAATCCATTTATGACTAGCTTGACCAGCACAAACCCTTTCGCGGACAGGACTGCTGCTCCTGGAAACCCATTTAGGGCCCTGTCTCAAGAATCAGAGGCCACTTCATGGCTCTCCAAAGAAGAGCCTGATGCTAACAGTCCTTTCCCTCCTCTCATGCCTCTTGGTCATGATATAAGCAAGCATTCATGCTCACATGATGGTTGTAAGGACAGTTTTGATCTGCAAGGCCAGTCTACAGTACAAACAAGCACCCCAAAAGGATGGGTAACCTTTGAGGAAGAAGAGGACTTTGATGTGAAAGGAAAGTCACAGTCATCTTGCACAGACTTTCAGGGTAATCCACCAGGTTCATTTGATGATGACTGGAATAAAGGTGCAAATGTGTCTTTTTGTCTGGTGCCGTCCAGAAGGCCACCTCCACCCCCTGTCCCTCTGCTCCCACCCAGCACCAGCCCTCCGACAGATCCTTTCACAACCTTGACATCTGAGGCATCTCCCACACTAGACTTTACAGAAAGATAATATTATATGACAAAAAGGGGTTTTTGTTGTCATCGTTTTGTTGTTCGGTTTTGGCAGGGTAGAGCCAAACAATAGGGGCATTAGTTATTCATTATGTGCAATAAATAATTGTCAGGTACACTTCATAAAATACCACTACTTGATGTGTACAAAGTTAGAATATGTGTATATTGGAAATCAGGAAAAATCCTCATTATTAACTGGAGCTTTGATGTGTTTCTCTTCAGGTGAATAGGAGACAACAGTAGCCATAAAAATGCTTAAAACTACGTTAGAAAATAGTCCTTATTCAGAAATTCCTTATCAATCTTTGAAAAATCAAAAAAGCCCCCCACACAACTTTTAGCTGACATTACTGCCAGCCCTTCTTACTGTTGACAATTGGTTATTCATGAGTATGTACCAAAGAGCTGCCAAAGTTACAGTGAAACAGTTTTGAATGGCATTGCTTTAACAAAAAGATATATGTGTATTATGTGTGTGTACATATACTTATAGCACACACAAATGTACATATACACATTTACATATTTATGAAACTTAAATTCTGGATATAACTCAGATCAAATTTTACCTAAAAGTTCTAAAAAAGTCCCTTTTCATTACCAAAAAAGATGGCTGCAGATGTGACTTGGTTGTTTAATTTTTATTTCCCAAACTAGAATAATGTCACTATAGAAGGAGAATTTTCTACTATTCCACTCCCCAGCCCTTGTTTCCTCCACTCCAGCACCTCCATATTCTTTTCTCTAGGAGGTTCTTGTAACTGGCAGCCTCTTGTTTTCACTGTCGGGGACAGATACACTAGCCCTCTTAAGACAGTACTGTGGCCTTATATATAAGGAAGACAAATACCACCAAGCTTAATGAGAAATATTAGAGCTAAACATACTCTCTTTTCTCTGTGCATTAAGGTTTATGTTACCCATCACCTTCCCTTCCTTTTCTTTTTGCTGTTTTTGCTCTGAAACTTTGCTTATAGCAGGGAAAGCGGCCATCTCGAGTCCTTTGAGTTGGGGACATTCCCACTGTATGTCCTCTCTCACTGCATAACATTTATGATGCTGCTTTAAGTTCTTAGAGGCTATACCTCAAATTAGCTGTGGATTTTATCTCCCGCACTGCCAGTATGCAACTGATTCTGCTTTTCTTAATTTTATGAAGTAGTACAAAGAATTTTTACAGAATGTAGTATTTTGATATCATTAAATAAACCAGTCAGAAAACCCCTTGAGCAATAGTTGTTCTGTTGTCAGTTAAGTTGAAATCATCTTTACCTATCAAAACTTAATGTTTTTATATAAAGAGTTCCGTGTACCCACTTAAATTCCCATGTCCACATTTAACCTTTAAAGACAACATGAAAGAGTCCGTGGCTAAGAACACGTAACGTGTAAAAGCACAGCAAACTGCATTGCACTTCCACCCTAAAGCAAATCTATTAGGAAAAAGTACTTTTCTAAATGCTCACGTTATCAAGACAATACTATATTTATAGAAGTGATCTCTCTGTTAATGGGATTTGCTGTTAGAAATAGCTCGAGTTTCATAATTGTGCTCTTTTGGGGTTCTAATCATTTCAGCTGTAGGATCTTTTAAACAGTATTACTATAAGCAGTGTGCTTCAAAATGTGAATTAACTTGTTGAAACTGTGGCTTTAACATCTATGTGTATATGGCATTTGCTCTCTATTAGCAAAAGAATTCATGGTTAGGTAAACTTCAGTAGTGCAAATTGCAGTTCTGTGAGCTTATATTCCTATTGGATATAAACTACTGTCTCAGATACACATATCAGCAGCAGCTCAGCCTTTGTCAGGAAAATTATATTTGGCAAGTTGCTGAAGATGCACAAAGTTATGAAAGTTAAAAAGGTATGCTGCAATTAACTAGCCATTATTCTGTGTATTATTAAATATTTACCAGTTCTGTTCAAACCAGAGCAGAAATCAAACACTAAGAATCTTTGTGAATTCTTTGTTCTCTATAGTAGATTGCTGTTTATATGTATGTAAGAATTTTATTGCTTATGTGGCATACATTTATAACTATATACTTTATAGAAGTACAGTATTAAAGTCAGTGATGCCGACATTCTGTACAGACCCTGTGAAATGTGCTGTCATATGAAATAAATATACTTGTCTTTACCATACTTTGCTTAACAGACAAGAATTTTTCTTTTTTCTTGTACTTTACATATACAGATTTAGTGATATTTGGGGGAAACAGACTAGCTCTTGTTACCAAATCACATATTTTAAGACTTTATTTTCATCTATTTCATTTCTCCATATAGTGTTTACTCTGCGAAGAGTTTTCTGAGATTTCTAATCACCGTTAAGAAACTCATGCATTTATTCCATAAGAGAGGCCCTCATTCAGTCTTGTTGGCTTCAAAATAACACAGGAGGCAATAAATTGAGGCTTTTCTGACCCATAACAGAAGAAACAGTTGGGGATATGGGGAGAGGGGAATTAGGACACGAATAACCAGACAAAAAGAGACTAGCCAAAAAGACCCATGAGGCCATGGTTAGTAGTTTCAGTAACTATTGCCCCTTTTTAGTCCTATATGGCTGATACTCAAGGTGAGAACCTTGCTTCTTAAGTAGTTGAATTATGTTCATTAACCTTTGATATAGTAACATATAGAATAATAGGCTTTTTAAAAATAGACATATGTAGTTGTAAGAAATGATACAGGGAGAGCCATGTATCTTTAACCCAGTTTCCCCCCCAGTGGGAACATCTTGTAAAACTACAGTAAGCTAGCATAACCAGAAGGCTAATTTTGACAGGAACATTCTCATTGCCAGAAGGATCTCTCATGTTGATCTTTTCCCATTCCCCCTCTATCTTTCCTCTGTCCTTAACCTTTGGAAACCACTCATCTATTTTCCATTTCTATAATTTTGTCACTTCAAGAATGTCATAAAAATGGAATCACATGGTATTGTAACCTTTTGAAGCTGGCTTTCACTCAGCATAAATGAGATTCATTTAGATTGTGTGTATCAGTATTTGTTCCTTTTCATTGCTGAGTAATAGTCCATTGTATGTGCACACCATAGTTCCTTTAATCACCCACTGAAGAACACCTGGGGTGTTTCCAGTTTGAGGCTCTTACAGACAAAGCTGCTGTAGATTTAGGATTCCATTTCTCTGGGAGAAATTCCCAGGAGTGTAATTGCTTGGTCATGTGGTGGCATAGTTCAGTTTTTATGAAACTACAAAATTAGCTTCCATTTTATATTCCTGTCAGCAACATATGACTTTCTCTATATCCTTATCCTCCTTTGCTGTTGTCACTGTGTTTTAGCCATTTTAGGAGAGGGTATTTCTTTGTGGTTTAAATTTGAGTCTCCCTGAGGTAATGACGTTGAACATCTTTGCAGGTGCTTTTTTGCCATCTTGATTCTTCTTCAGTGAAATGTCTGTCTTGCTATTTTTCCAGTTTTCTTAGTGGAGAGTTTTTACTGTCTAGTTTTGAAACTTCTTTATATATTCTAAATGCTTTGTTGGCCATGGCTTGCAATTATTTCTCCAGCCTCAGGCTTGCTTTTCATCCTCATCACAGGATCCACAGCCAAATCCTGAGCTCTGGGAACTACAGCAAGAATGATTGGCATATGGTAACAAAACTAAGAAACTGATACGTAAATCAAAATGCCAGGCTGGGGGCATGACACAAGTGATACAGTGCCTGCCTAATAAGCATGAGGCTCTGAGTTCAATCCCAAGTACCACCAAAAAAATAAAATGCCATTTTATTAATGTTAGAAAAATAGCCTATATTCACAAACAGAGAAATTGGAATTCTTACACTGTTGGTGAGAGGGTAAACTGGCACATTCATTCTAGAGAGCAATTTAATGTCAGGTCAAGTTTATATCTTTTTATGCACAAGAAATTTGACTTCTAGAGAACTTGGAGCACATTGTAATAGTGAAAAGTAGCAATAAACATCAATATGGAGTAGTATATCTGTACAGTGCAATCATACAGCAGTGAGAATAAATGAAAACATCAGTGAGTAAACTCAATGGGGAGCTATAAAGCAAGCTACAAAATAATACAGCAAGACACTGTATAAGACAATCCAAAACTATATTCTTTAGGGATACATGCAATGGAAACACGCGATAGAAATGATAAACATTGAGAATAGAAGTTACCTCTGGAGAAGAGGATGAAGGGAAGAGGATTTAAATATGGGAGATTTAACTGTGTTAGGACTTAAGAGTAAAATTTGTCCTCTTCCTCCCTGATTGCCTGACATCCAGCAGCCAACAAGAACCAACCATAAATTATCCACACCAGGAGGTTCATCACTGATGGATTGCTTGATAGACATGCCCTTCATCCTAGAAAGGCAATAGTACCTAAATACTCAAGAGCAAGCTAGCCACAAAGCAGAACACCACAGCAAACTTTGTTTTCAAATTCAGAACCCACTTGGCTAAAGATTTTGCCCTGTTGCAGCTCGAGTTCTGTGTTGGTCAACCTCTTCAGTTTATATGATTTTGAAGTACAGTATTTAAGGTCAACTATTTACATATAGGGATCTAATAAGGTTTGGGGCAACATTGCCCAGAGGAAGGAGGAGTTCATGGAAATTCTCACATATGGGATCTAATAAGACGTCCACTCTTAAAAAGCATCACAAAACACAAACCCCAAAACGACACAAAGCCAACTGTGGGTTTGGGATAATTCCAAAGCTGCCTAACAAAATCACCCTATTTAGTTCTCTTACATGTCTCTGTGAATTTCCTTGTCCATTTTTTGTTTTGTTTTGTTTCCTCTTCCCCATACTAAAAAGCTGCAGGACAGCGGTCATTGGATCCGCCACTGGGTCACAAGGCGCCGGGAAGAAACAGCGCTGGAACCCCCTTTTGCCCTTGACGACGCCTGGCTGGATATTTTGGAAAGTCGTTCTTCGTAGTCGCTGAGCTACCAGAGAAACGCGAATCCCAATCCACCTACCCACCCGGCCCGGCCCCGGGAAGACGATCGCAGCCCTGGCGCTCATCTGTTCCCAACTGCCCGGGCCGGAAGCAGTAAGAAGGTACTTCCGGCAGTGGGGCTGCTGTGGTGTCCCCACACCGCACGCGTTCCCCCTAGCAACTCCATCCTCCGCCAGCCAATCTCGCGGGCGCGGCGTGGTCTGTTTGCGTTGCCCGGCAACAGCTACTTCCGGGAGCGCGACGCCGGTGCGACCTGGGTCTGGGGCCTTCGCCGACAGAGCACGTTGTTGCCTACGGAAGTAGACTGCGAGGTTTTCGAGCACCCCAGCTTAAACTGGCTTAAACTGGAGGCCCCTCCGACCCAGCTTAACTGTTGCTCCTGGCAACAGCCACTTCCGGGAGCGAGTGCTGTCCCCTCCCCTCTACCGCGGAGGCCCGAGCTCCGGGATTCCGCCCGTAAGCAGCGGTTAGTGGTCAACTGGGGCCGGGCCTGCCGTCGCCGTGAAGCCGTCCCGACGCCTCCACGGGGCTCCCAGGGCCGCTATGGTTCTTCTGCATGTAAAGAGGGGCGACGAGAGCCAGTTCCTGCTGCAGGCGCCGGGGAGCACGGAGCTGGAGGAGCTCACGGTGCAGGTGGCCCAGGTCTACAACGGGCGGCTCAAAGTGCAGCGCCTGTGCTCAGGTGCGGCCCGCGGCGGGCGGGCCTCGCCCGCGGAGCCCTTGGCGGAGTGGGGCGGGGAGGGTTCCCGGATGGGACGAGGATCAGGGCGACCAGGGATGGACTCCCTTGTAGTCAGGCCGGGAGTGAGGGGTCAAGGGTTTGCAGCAGCTGGGGTGAAGTGAACTCCAGGGTGTTTGCAGGTGGGGCGAGCCTGGCACCCCATCGATTGGGGTCAAGTGCACCCAAGCGTCTGGAGCCAGGATTTGGGGTGCAGATACATGGGAATGCACTGGTGGGAAGAGGCGCCGAGCTGAAGAGCAGACACGGTAGAATAAAAGAAGCGGGAAGGGCTGGAGTGATGATACCTGGGTGGGCTTACAAAAGGCAAATGGCCTATTTTGAGCCTTGTGGCGGGGAGCCCCTGGCTTTGGGAAGGCCCTTCAGAGGTGAGCAGAGAGACGTGAGGAGGCCTTGGCGGTCTGCCCCGTCTCCTTGGAAACACAGGCCCTCCTTCCTGTTACTGTGTCACCTTCAGGAGGGACTGACTCTCCAGAACACCAGTAGAATGGCCAATAGAATGGAAATGTGCCCAAGTTTGTGCTGTGCAATCTGTATCCATTAGCCACATGTGGCTGTTGAGCATTTGAATGTAGCAGGTGCAACCAAAGAACCGAACTTTGAATTTGTAATTTTAATTTAAAATGTCACATGTGAATAGTAACTACTGCTTCAGACAGCACAGCTGTAGGTCTTAACAAGATCCTCCAGGTGAGCTCTAGGATGTTATTACTGTGCTCTAAGCACATATATGTAACAACCATGTAAGATAAATCATAAAATGATTTATTAGCATCTGCTATATGTTTATATGATTTATTAAAATACATAATTAAACATGCTTTTTGCACAGTGGAGAACTTAGGGTCATGGTGTGTTCATGGAGCATGTGTATAGATTTTCACTTAAACTTCATGCTTCCAAAACAGACTCAATTTGAAATGTTACTTTAAAATGAAAACATTTGAGGAGAAAAGGAACTCTGTCTTTTTCCATAACATTATAAATTGAAAATGTAGTGCTGAGTGTAAGAGTCATGTTGGTGAATTAAGAATCCAATGTTAGCTGTGATGCCAGCAGGCACCAGTGCTCTTAGGAAGCCCAGGCTCCCCGGAGTGCATAATCTGGACTGGGAGCGAGACAGGAAACATCCCACTCAGTTATACCTTTTAGTCCATAGTACCTTTACAGGTCCTGTGTTATCTGAACCCCTTGTTCCCTGTGCCTCCCTCACAGGAAGGAAAGGCAGGAGAGAGGGAGGCAGGTGACGCTGCTGGGTTTGGGGATGAGTATATGTGGATTAGGAAATAAATATAGAAAGCCAAGCATCTGAATAGTGAACATGATGTTAGAATTAGAAAACCTTGTCTACTTTCTTACTTTTGGTCTTCAGCTATACCACCCTGGCGCGCCTGATCTCGTCTCTTACTTTTGAGGGCTATAAACAACCTTAAATCCTCTCCAGTGATTTATGTATGACATTTCTGAGGTGGTCATATAAAGTTTCACATATTGTATTAGTTGTGTGAGCTGAGCAAACCTCACATCACACAATACCTCCTGTAAATTAAGGATGATGATGAGGTTGATGACTGTTGCCTACTCATGGGTTATGTTAAATGAGGTCATCTTTGTGACTCTACTTGGAAAACTAAAGTCCTGTATGAATATGTATTCAGGCTCTCAGCGAGTATTGATTCCATACCTCCTGAGTTCCAGCAATACAACACAGCACAATGGCTTAGAGCATGGCATCTTTGGCCAGATTGCCCAGGACTGTGGGTGGGTTCCTAAGCACTATGTGGATCCATTGACTGGGGGTGGATTGGTGGCTTGGTCCAGGGTCAGGGACAGGTCTGGCACATAGCTAGTGGTATGTAAGTGTTAAGTACCATGATTGAGCCATGTGGGCCAGACCCTGAGTCTCGGGATGATTGTAATTCCTGTTCTGTAACTTTCCCTTGTTTTTAAGAAATGGAAGAGTTAGCGGAGCATGGCATATTTCTCCCTCCTAATATGCAAGGACTGACCGATGAGCAGATTGAAGAACTGAAATTAAAGGATGAATGGGGTGAAAAATGTATACCCAGTGGGGGTTCAGTATTTAAGAAGGACGACATCGGCCGAAGGAACGGGCAAGGTAACTGAGCATTTCCCTTCTGTGTGTGCCCAAGCATACCAGGAAGTATGAGAGTGGGTCTCATACAGACTTAGAAATACCGCACTGCGTAGCTTGTCACATAAACAAACTTTTTAAAAACTGATTGTTTAATGAACACCTCAGTGCTGTGTCCTTTAAAACACTGTTAGAAGCAGAATAAATACAAAATGATATTCCTGCAAAGCCTTTATAAGTTCAAATATACACAATACAATATTGAGATATCAATATATTAAAATATTAGTATATTTTAATATTGGGGATAATAGGAATCTCTAGGATTATTTCCTTTGAATTTTAACCTGGAAAATGGTTGATTATTTTCTAATGTTTTAATGCCCAAACTCATTCTCAACCTGGAAAGTCTGCTTTTTAGAAGCAGTTACATCAATGAAAAAAATACATCTTAAAAACCAGTTAGCAGTTTATTTTTCTTATCGTTAAGCTGATGTGTTCTTAAATTAGCCATTTCTCTTCTAGTATGATTTTTATTTCTAATATTTTCAGTGTCTACTTAAGAATTTGTGGTTTACTTATCCCATTTCCTTTACATTGTTTTTGCTTCTAAAACCCCATTCCTTTACACCATTTACATTTATAATTTTTCCCCTTGTTTTGCTTCTAAAACCCCATTCCTTTACACCATTTACATTTATAATTTTTCCCCTGTCTAGGGATCAGCAAATTATGGGCCATGTGCCAAATTCAGCCAGTTGCCAAAGTTTTACTGAATGTAGCCTCCCCATTCACTTAAGTATTTTCGTGGCTGCTCTTGTGTTTCTGTGGTAGGGTTGAGTAGTTGCATTGTAGCCTGTGAAGCTGAAACCTTTTTTACCATATGGCCCTTTGCAGAAAAAGTTGGCTGACCCTGTGCATCCAGCAGCATGTGTTCCTGCTCTTTGCAGGCTTTGCCAAGTAACATAAAGCACAGCCCTGCTGTCCCATGCCAGACTTCTTGCATCCCTCATGTAAATTCCAGACCTGTATGCACTCTCTCTTCATAGACTCCTGGACTGAGATGGAAGGGCTCAAGAGAGTTCAGAGGGGTTTTAAAGAAGCTGTGTATTTGATGTCTGTCTTACTTCCTGTCTTTTTTTTTTTTGTAGCCCCAAATGAAAAACTGAAGCAGGTTTTAAAGAAGACTATAGAAGAGGCCAAAGCAATAATATCTAAGGTCAGCTTTTGAACTTGATGCTCTAAAGCTTGTCTTTTGAAATGCATACTCTTAAGTATGGCTTCCAGAATTATCTGTCAACCAACTTTTTCATTTTTTCTTCTCTTCATTTCTTTCTTTCCCTTTCCTTTTTGTCTTTTTCTTTCCCTTCAGAGGCAAAGAAAACATGCTTGGGATGGGTCCTAGCTTTTCCTTTTCAGTTATGACAGTTCTCAAAAATCCTCCCAGCTCCTCACAGGCAGGCAGATTTCTGTTGGTTTGTGTGAATGTAGACTCACAGACAACACAAATGTGAGTTGATACATCCTGGATTTTGGTTTTTTTACCCTTTTGAGGAACTTAAGAAAGCTAAGTAGGGGAGATTTCAATATCATGGTGGTAAAGTAGATACTTGATTGACATGGTGTACATTTAATATTTTCAGTATTTATATAAAAACTATTTCACAGAAGGAAAAACATAAAACACTACCATTAGTCTGCAGATAATGTGCATGTGGAGAAAGAGACCTTAAGGATATTTAAACAATTGGTATTTTCAGTTGTCACACTTATTTATGTCGCAAGTACTAGCCAGAGTCTTGAGAGAGCTACATAAATTCCTTCTGAGGATGGTGCCCCAATGACATCACCTTCTACTAGGCCCCACTCCTTAAAGGTTCCACCACCTCTTTATTATTATTATTTTTAATTTGAGGCAAGGTCTTGGGCTGACTTTGAACTTGGAATCCTCCTATCTTAGCCTTCCCAGTGTTGGGGTTATAGGCGAGTACCACCATGCCTGGATCTACCACCTCTTAAGAGTATTATGCAATAGACCAAGCGTGCAGTGCTCACTGTGGATTACCTTGCTCACACACACTCAGTGTGTGGTGAAAAGGAGCTTGTTGTGAATAACAAAAGAGTCTGTCATCACTCAGGATGCTGAGGGTTTTTGAAGCTCTGTGCCAGGGACAAAGAGCAGAGATCTTCTTTATGATATCACACCTTTCCTCAGTGCTCAGAGCCTTCTCGCAAGTCTCCCTCCAGCTTGGTCCATTCTTCACCAGAGCAAGACGGTCTCCCAACATTATCGCTCCTCCCAAGAAAAGTCATTTTCCCCTCAGCTAACAGTAAATATGCATCCCTCACTCTGGCTCTCATGACCATTCAGAAACCAACTCCAGCCTGCCCCAGCCCTTTCCTCTCCTCTGCTGCCTGCCCTTCTTTGCTCTGTTTCCTAAAGCCCCCTGCTTCCATCTCCACCTTTGCAGTCCTGTGTGTGCAGGCCACCTGAGGAGTTGAGTCCCCCATGGCAGCATTTTTGTATCTTCCCCATCTGTCCTGTGAGATGGGATCTTTCTTCATAGCACCGAGTTTCTCTCTGGTGCTGTTCACAGACCACAGCATGGTCCAGGCCACAGCACTTGGCTCAGCCCCAGAAGGGATGGCAGTCACTTGGGGAAAAAGAATGAACTTTCCTTTTTATTGTGCTGGCAGTATCTGGCAGGGGTCTTGTACAAGAAGTCGATCAGAGCTGGGCACATGATGGTGCTCTTGGTAGACTGAGGCAGAAGGATCACAAGTTCAAGGTTAGCCTGAACTACATAGGCCTATCGAAAAAAACCAAAAAATAATAATAAAAATTAAATTAGCATGTGCAAGGCCCTGGACACACTGCCCAGCACTGCAAAATAATAGTAATGATAAAGTAATAATAAAAGTATCAGTAGTTATTGAATCAATTTGCCATACTGTCCACTTTCAGAAACAAGTGGAAGCCAGCGTCTGTGTTACTATGGAGATGGTGAAAGATGCCCTAGACCAGCTCCGAGGTGCGGTGATGATTGTTTATCCCATGGGGCTGCCACCCTACGATCCCATCCGGATGGAGTTTGAAAATAAGGAAGATCTGTCAGGAACCCAGGTCTCTGGCCCTTGGGCACCCTAGAGGGTGATTCATGAGCACCCGCTCAGATTTGGCCCTCTCTTCAGGACACCGCTTTCCAGCTTTGTGCTGCCATACTTCCAAGTGGAATTCTGAGTTCAGGCCAGGGCCCTGGGAGGGAGCTGTGCACGGTTGAGAGCTGTGGTCCATGTGTAGAGCGCTTGCAAAGCAAGTGTAATGTAAGGGAGGCTGCCCATGGGGTAACTGAACACATGCCATTTTCTTTGGCCACTGGAAAGTCAGAAATCTTGTTGGTGCCAGTCTCTACCCAAGCATATCAGCCCCTCTGCATGGAATTTTGAGTCCAGTCACATCCTGTGCTTTGTGTGTTTTCTTACTTTTGTGTTCCAGCTTCTTCTTATTCCTAGACTGTTTTTTTCTTTTTGGCAGTACTGGGGTGTGAATTCAGAGCCGAGCCTCATGCTTGCAAGACTGGTGCTCTACCTCTTGAGCTACTCCTCGAACCCTTTTTGCTTTTAGTTATTTTTGGAATAGGGTCTCACATTTTTGCCCAGGCCACCTGGACTGTGATACTGTGATCCTTCTATTTAGACCTACTGTGTAGCTGGGATCACAGGCATGCACCACCACACCCAGCTATAGTTTGAGATGAGATCTCGCTGATATTTTGCTCAGCCTGGCCTTGACCCATGATCCTCTCATCTCTACCTCCTAGGATTACAGGAGGCCACTGCGTCTAGCCTTATTCTTGCCCTACAGACAGCATGTATCTGTCTAAGCCACCTCGAGTGGGTGGCAGCAAACAAACAGCCCCACGATGCCTCTATTTACAAATCCCTTGAAATTCCCGATCCTCTGTGGCAGTAGCCCTGTTGGAAGGATGAGGGTGCAGATGAGATGAGATTACCCTAATTCCCAGAGCTAGAAGTTAACTGGGTGATTCTCAAATACTCGCTGAAACATAACGGGCATTCCAGAAAATGCAAGGATGTTGAGTGAGATAGGGACAGAGTTGGCATATGGGGAGAGTGGGGCCTTTCCTCACCAGGAGGACCACCAGCCAGGGCTGGACATTAATGTCCTCAAGCCAATTCCTATGACTGTGTGATTGACTCTAGGCAGGGCTCAGCGTCATTGATGAGTCCCAGGCACAACTGTGGTGGGCAGCCAAGGAGTTAAGAAGAACAAAGAAACTTTCAGACTATGTGGGGAAAAATGAAAAAACCAAAATTATCGTCAAGATTCAGCAAGTAAGTATTTTTGCTTAACATATACTGTTTTTTCTTTACCTTCAAATAGATGGAACTTTACAGTAAATCTGAATGATTTAAACGAGTCGTGCAAGTACTTTAATCCTATTGGCTCAGGCCTAATGTAAAACATCCTGTATGCACAACAACAAAAACCAGAAGAAAATAATGCCTTGATTGGCACTGCCTAAACTCGTTTAAATTCATGGGGAGGAGGAGGCTGTGTTAATTTCAACCTAAAGTACAGAGCTACAAATACATAAAAGTATTTCTTAAATGAAAAGTACTGCCTCAAGCTCTGAGGTCAAGTTTTTTCAAACTGCTGATGCTCTGCAATGGGGAGGAAGGGTCAGAAGGAGAGCTTGTCTGCCTGCGAGGCTGCCTTGCAGAGCCTGTGCTCTGAGCATCCTCACAGGAGCCACAGTGGCTATCTTGGGAAGGCCTGTGACAGACATGGCATTGTGCAACCCCTGGTCTCCATCCGCGGGAAGTCCAGAGCACAAGCACTGCTGCAGCCAAGGATGCCTTGGACCATCAGACACACCAGCCTGTCATTAGCAGTTTGCAGAGGCAGCTGTAAACATTCGCTGTACCTTGCTAGATTGTCACTGAGGAAGAAGCTTCAGTCTGCAATTTGTCCTGTCCTCACCTTTTCAGAAGGGGCAGGGAGCCCCAGCCCGAGAGCCCATTATTAGCAGCGAGGAGCAGAAGCAGCTGATGCTCTATTACCACAGAAGACAGGAGGAGCTCAAGGTAGCCATTGGGCAGCTGGCGGTTTCCACAGGGCTGCACCCCATGCCTCACCCAGGGCTTCAGGGTAGGAGTGATGAGAACTGCAGTATGTCAGGGGCGGGCCTTTCTAGAGCCTCCCCACCTCCAGGGCTGTCCCCAGCATTAGACTGCAAGTGTCCTCCTTTCTAGGGTAGGGAGAGGGGAGGTTGACCATGGATTCTTTCTTCAGTCTCTGTGTACAACACTTTCCTAAAATGTCTTCCTGAGTAAAACCTGTTTATTTCCAGAAATTGGAAGAAAATGATGATGACTCCTGTTTGAATTCTCCGTGGGCAGATAACACTGCTTTGAAAAGACATTTTCACGGGGTGAAAGACATAAAGTGGAGACCCAGATGAAGCTCACAGTTAATGAAGCTTTCATAACCACTAGCTCACCTTCCTTTTAAGAAAATAATTATAATAAAAGGACTCACCCCTGTCTGCAAAAGATGTTGAAAATTCTATTTTCCTAGGTTTTTTTGTTTGAATTTTAAAAATAACAGTTGTTCATGGTTTTAGAACTTAATAAATACATCCTAAAAGCAGCTGTGTAAATTATTTCTGTTTGAGAGCACCCGTGTATTGTCTCAGGGTTTTCTTTGATAAAATACTAAAGAGGTAATTACAACCATTTTTTTCTTCCTGATTTCTTTTTTTTTTATGTTCACAAGACACCTGTGTTGAAGAAAATCTGAAAGTACCGATTCCTTCATAGCAGCTCTCTGATGTGGAAGTTGACTGTGGGTGACCACCAGAGGCCGCCAACCACGAACTTGTCCTGTGTTTTCCTTCTAGATCTATGGGAGCTTAACTCTGTCTGGCTTGAGACTATTGGAAAAACCCACTGAAGGGTCTTAACTGCAGCCAGGCATCTCCCAGCCTTCAAGGTGAAGTTCACTTCCTGGTTGATGCCTCTTGGCCTTGTCTGCCAGGAATAAAGATCACCTGTGATGGGAGTTGGTGGCCAAAATAAGCTAACATGAGCACACAGTTCTGTAGTCACTCAACCTTTCCACTCTTCATTGGAACAGATCCAGAAAATGAGTCCGATCCTGGGGAAGGGCAGCTCTCCCTGGGGATGGCAGGGCTGGTTCCAGGCTCTACTTCCTGCTCTCCATGTGCTGAGGTTTACAGTCCCTGAGGGATCCAGGACATCAGGCCTAGGCAGCTGCATTTGACATAGTGACCATCCACAGGAGGCACCAGTTCAGTCATTGTCCTTAGATTTGACATACTCCAGCTCATCACCCCCATAAACGTTTTGGTCCCACAAACCCTGATCCTTCACAGCTGAAGTGGCCTGGAGGTGCTCCATGCTTAACTGTGGCATGCCTGTCCTGAGGGAAGGGAAGTGCACTAGCAGTTGCCTGCTGACCTTCCTGTGCTCACGGCCCCTCCCCTGGCCTACTCAGTCTCACCTCAGGCACAAGAGGAGGTGTGGCAGTGAGTGGAAGCAGACTGGGGACAGTTCCAACCTACTAGAAGGCAGCCTTTCCAGGGCCCAGCATCCCAGACCTAGTCCCCTGGTAGGCCCCTCCACTGCCATCTCTATGGGTCAGAGGAAGTAAAATTGGAACATGACAGCAAGATTTGCTGAGACCACTCCCCACCTTGAGGGGTGACTTTGGGCTCCTTCTGGAGTCTAAGCAGAAATGGGTCCCAAACCCCAGCAGTTTCTCCCAGAACTTTCTGCCTCCTGCCCTTCCCTCCCTACCATTGCCAAGTTTCAGGTGGTCACCCAGAGCTGACTCCTGGAAGTTTGGCTGTTTTCAAAACTTTTCTAAATTGGGGTGTAGTGGACTATGCTTACTGGCTGTGCTGTTTTTTTCGTTGATTTTGTAAAAACCAAATGTGCTTCTGTTTTCTCTTTGATTATAATTTTAAGTATGGCCTTGGATGACAGAGTTTGCTGTAAGAACCTCTGATTTTATTCAAAGGGCATTCTGTGTTTGCCAGTGTATACTTTGGATGCCCAAGATTCATGCTGAGCCTTGCAAGAGAAAGTTAGCCAAGATGCGTGATCACAGAGGATCTTTTGAAGACCAGATACTTCCATATCATTAGGAGTTCATGTTGACTGCCTGAATGAGAGTTCTCTAAGTGGCCGTGAAGGTAATTCTATGCTTCGTGTAGTCAGCAGGTTTTACTGACCATAGATACTCACTTCTCACTTTTTTTGGCTTTTTGAGACAGTCTGCTACATAGCCCAGGCTGGCCTCAAATTTGTTATCCTCCAGCTTCAGCCTCCTGAGTGCTGAGATTACAGGCATGAACCACCATGCCTGGCTTCACTTTTCATTTCCAAGTGTAGCATCCCCTATGTAACTGGCCTCACACTGCCTCCTTCATTGAATGTTTGTGGTGAAAGATCAGCCCTCTCTTCCTGCCATTCTTTGCTTCCAAACCCCTTGAGTGTCCAATGTTCAGAGGCGTAAGGACACAAGGCCTCCACAGACATCCATAAAGGTGAGGCAAGCAGGCCCTACAGCCCACACTGTGCGCTGCACCTTGTGCTTGAATCCACTTGACATTCAAGGTCATGTAGCCAGTGAAAGTAGAGCCCCAGGACCTCCCAGCAGACTTCATCTTGCCACTGGCAGACTATTGATCAGCTTAAGTCTGTGGCCCTGGCATTACTTTCTTCTGTTTTTAATCCAGTGCATCTTTGGATCCTGTCAAAAGTGAAAAGTGGTCATTGTATGCACGGACCCCACCTCGGTCTGTGGTTGTGTCCTTTGACACTTCTCATTTGGCTATTTCATGGAAACCAGGAATGCTAGTAATAAAAACACTTTCAACAGCAAACTGTCAGCATCGGGGCAGTATTTCTGTCACAAGATCACCTCTCTCCTTGGCAACTACACAGCCAAGAATGTGCCATCAAGCTTGAAATCAAGTGCCACATGCTAAGAAGATGGGAACCGTGAGAGGTCTTAACCCTGCTGAATTCCAAAGTCTCAGCAACCCTCCTTCTGGAGAGGGGATGAGAGGACGGCTTGCCTAACAAGTTGTCATTCCATGTTGCTGAGAGTTGAAGGAGCGGTGTGGTGACAATGGCAGCTGGCATTCGTCAAGACCTTACTTTTCCCATACAAGAACTCTCTCTAGGTTTCTTCATTTATACCTCACAGCAGCCAAACTAGGAAGGAACTACTATTGTTGACACCAGAAACTAGAAAGACAAGACCCAGAAAAAGGTTAAATTGCTCAGGCAGAAGCATTTGGAAGCCCCCCTGCATGGTCAGCATCTACGGTTAACTTAAAGCCCAAGGGAGACAGGGAATCGAGAGCTAGCAAACAACAGCAAGGTGTCCACACCCGTGGGTTGCCCAGAGGTTGTGACCCGGACCCCGAGCAATGAGACTGCCACACGACCATAGCTTTGTCACTGCCTTTTCCCCTTACCCTTGTCTTTGTTTTTTTGTTTGTTGGAACTGGGGTTTGAACTCAGGGCTTCATGCTTGCAAAGTAGGAGGTCCACCTCTTGAGTCACAACTCTAGCCCTCCCCTTCCGCCTCTTGAATGCACCTGGCACACCAGCCAAGGAACCTAATCACATTCTAGACTTTTCCCTTGGCTCATTGAGTGCCACAGTGGCCTCTGGGGGGCCCAGAGGAAGTCTAAGGATTGTGAGAAGGGCACTCATGTCCTCCAGTGCAACATTGTAGGGCAAGATGAGCAAAAGAGGGGAAGTGACCACGGTGTGTGTTGTCCGTGTTCTTGTTCCCCCTCCGGGCCTGTTACAGCACCAGCCCTGTCCAAAACAAAGCAGGCAGATGGAACACCTAAGTTCCCCTGAGTTCTCACTTCCTTCCTGGAATGGAATGGGCAGCAAAAACGCCCTCAACACTCTTGCTGTCAGAATCCTATGTCATGGCTAAATCACTTATGATCATATAACTAACCATGCTGATTTTTGCCCATTCCCACAGCCCTGGATCAGTTCCCAGGGTCCCCCACTCCTTCAGACCCCCTTTTTGTCCCCAGTGAGCTGGTATGTGATGACATGTTTAATCTCCCTGCATGGACTGCAAGCTTTTGAGGGCAGAGCTGCTGTTTTAGTCAGATTATAACTCTTTCCCCAAAATTACAGGTGCTCCAGTGCCTCTCCAGCCTTCCTGCAGGACTCCAGGCAGCTGTCACAGAAGACAAGGGGAGGGCAAGCTGTACTGAGCCTTTACACTCTTTGAAAGGAGGGACATGGTCAGATGTGGGGTGTTAATTATGTAACAGGTCCACAACTCGAGCTCCATGGCCAGATTCCATAATCCCCACCAGCTGGATCTCTGGCTTTGCCTGAGCAGGGCTCTCCCAGACCATGGAGACTGGGGACTCTCAGTGCACAATGGGGTGCTGCCTTGTGGTCTTGTGTGTGCCTTTGTCCCGATCCACCAGGAGAAATTGCCCATGAAAGATGGTCCCAGCAGTCTTGCCTGGGGAGCAATCCATTACCAGATTTGCATTCTGGGAGAGATTCATTGGCAGGCTGCTGGAAACCCTGTGATTGCACAGGGTCCTGGATTGCACAGTCTAATTTTGGTTTTTAGGAAAACGTTTTAAGGACCAGCAACACCCCAATGAATCCATGGCACTCAGGGCAGCGCTGAGTGGTCGCTGGTTCCTCTGGTAGCGCCTGTGCAGACCAGCATTTCCCAGAGGGGCCCTGGGGACTTTTACCCCCTGGATTTTATTTAGTAGGTAGTTACAGTATTGCTCTGAAGCTGGCTCACAGCTGGGCTTAGGGTAGCTCTTTGCAACACTGAGGTGCTAGCAAGCTAGGGAAGCCAGGCAGGTGAGGGTCCTTCTCCCTGGAATGATTAGAGAAACAACTAATGGGGCACGTCTGGGTCCCACACTGCTTCAGATGCTCCTATCCCCCACCCCCACCCCCACCCAATTCTACAAGAGACCATTTGAACCAGAATTTCTTCCTGTAGGGAAGCTGCCCTGGGGACATGGGAGGTGAGTACAAGGGCAATAAGAGGAATCCTGGCAAGCAGACTGGGTGCCTACAGTAAAGAACCCTTGAACCAGGTACTTTGGGCCTGGAAGAAACCATGCACTGCAGGTCCTTCCCTCTCTAGGAACCATAGCCAGGAACAGAAGCAAATTGCAACCCCTTGTCATCCTACTCACCTCTGGCAGTCTCTAGATGATGGTCTAAGGAAATCAGTTTACATTTATAATTAGAGGAGAATTTGGAGAACTTACACTATTTACAGAACTGGAGGTGTGGCTCAAAAGGTAGTGTGCCTACTTTGCAAGTGTGAAGTCCTGAGTTTAAACCCCAGTCCCACAAAAAAAAAAAAAAAAAAAAAAAAAACCAAATTAAGATCCATGGTGTTTTATCTCAGTAGGAAAATGTCCAGAAGGAAGCCACGCGTCTCAGCATTTTCCCGCAGGGCATGTCGGTCTGCAGCAT